CTTATATCGAAATAACTGCATTTTATTGAGCTCAGATGGTAATTTGCATGACATCAATGTATGAATCAACATGTTTTAAATGTATTTCTGCTGCCTGTTTGTCGATCTATCAGACTCTTTGGCTTATTTTTGGAATGGTTGAACCTATTGCAATGAAACTTGACTTACAGGCAGAGAGCAACGCCGAAAAACTTGGAGATTTTTTCTCAATCACAAAATTGATAAAACAAATGGTCTCTGATCTTGTAGTGTAGTGCTCCCACGTTAATATACTTTAGTGTTAAGTTAGAATAATGAGGCAGTATAATTAAAGTTTTAGTACCAACAACACGTCTCTCTTCATTGACACCTTTCATATATTACATGGCGACCCTGCCAGGCGGTGCGCTGCGTAAAAAATTGTTAAATTAAATAACAATGCAGAAATACCAGGCGGTCCCATAATGAACTGGCCTGATATAGTTCAACGCGACATGTCGCTACATGTTGTGTTGCATTAAATAGTACGTTTATCATGCACTTAATATAAGAAACATGCATCGACATGAAATGCTTAGTCTTAGTTTAACAGGCATTTGAATAACGAGAGTCGCGTATTTTTTCAAAATGTCGAAAACTGAGTATCGAAGTGTCATAAAGTTTCTGTTTAAAGAAGGTTTATCCCCTGCCTAAATAAAAGAACGATTGGATGGCGTGTATAAGGAGTCTGCCCCCGCCTATAGCACAGTGAAAAATTGGGTGAAAGAGTTTCGCCTCGGGAGAGAAACCGTCGAAGACTTTGGCCACGACGGTCGACCTGTGGAAGTGCTCACTCCCGAAACGATTGCTCTTATCGAAGAGGAGGTTCTGAGTGACCGCCTCTCACCTCTATGAGTACCGTTCATCGCGCGATCCATGAACATCTTCACATGAAAAAAGTGAGTGCAAGATGGGTACCGAAACTTCTTTCAGCGGTACAGAGACAGGAAAGAGTGCGCTGCGCTTCGGAGTTTTTGGATCTTTGTGGCGAAAATCCAAAGACTGTGATCGAGCGGCTAGTGACTGGTGATGAAACTATGATCTTGTATTATGATCCACAAAGCAAGCGCGAGTCAATGGAATGGCGTTATAAGGGTGAAAAGCCCCCTAGAAAGGCAAAGGTGCAACAATCGACTAAAAAACTGATGTGCACAATATTTTGGCATTTTCAGGGCATTTTGATGGTGGATTTTAAAGAACGTAATACAGTCGTGAACGGCGAATATTATGCTACTTTAATATATAAATTACGAGACAAGATAAAGGAAAAACGAAGAGGCAAGCTGTCTAAAGGTGTCCTGTTGCTCTATGACAACGCCCCTGTTCATACCGCTGGTGTTTCGAAGGATGCAGTTCGTCAATGCGGGTTCACAGAAGTTCAACATCCACCTTACAGTCCAGACATGGCCCCGTCCGACTATTATTTATTTCCAAATTTAAAGCGGGACTTAAGAGGAAGAAAATTTTCAAGCGATGAAGAGTTGCAGGCGGCCGTCTTCAGTCATTTTGAGGATAAAAAATGTGATTATTTTTATAAAGGTTTAGAGATTTTGATTCACAGATGTCAGAAGTGTGTTAGTATTCATGGTGATTATATTGAAAAATAAAATTGGTTTCGTTTCATTTCCTTCATTGGTTCATAGTTAGGCGAATTCATTATGGGACCGCCTACGTAATTTATTTCAATAAAAAATTGACTCAATACTAGACAAGACAAGAAAACTAAAAAAGATAAGAAGAGACCACAATACTATTTTTAGAAGCTCACTGAAAAATTAAAACTGGCAGACTAATTGAAAAGGGGAAGAAGCACTTGTATTCTAGCAAGCATCACCCAGAAGAATGTAAAATATAAGCCGAAAAGAACAGAGAAAAGAGAAACTAAGAGGTAACTTCGCACCTGTGTGATTATAATTCTATTTAATACTTGTATGAATTACGGAATATATCTATCAATTTGAAATTGTTTTAATGTTCTTTTTGCTACTTTATTTTTTTTAAGTTAAGTATTAAATATTCTGAATTCAATTACCTATGTTTAATTTGAAATTATTCATCAGATACTTAACGATTCAATTGCTTTTTAATTATCTTATAACTGTGTCTAAATAGAAATCATTCACGATACAATTGTTTTTTTTTTATATATATATTTCTATTAATATTTCTAAAAAAAAGCAATCATAATACAATATTATAAATTAAGTTACGTAAGCACTTCTGTCTGGCATGTTTATATTAAGGGAAAAGACAATTTTATATTTACTTTTATTCAGTTATTTTTTTATATTAATTTTACTACCATGAATTATTATAAAAAAATTAAATAATAAGATATATTACATTTTTACATACTTAAATTTACCACGTCGATATTTTTTTCATATTTTGTGGTGTAGAAAGTAAGTAGTAATAGATTCCGTTGTTTCTTTTTTCGGTAGTATATTTCATTTATTTGTATGCAATTTTGACAAAGGTCAACAAACAATTCGCTAATGTTGTCTTTTTTTTCTTTTCTAAAGACAAGGAATCTTAAAGTTATATTATAATAAATTAAAATTACTCTGTTTTCAATATTTAAATAAATTAATGTTTTTTTATATGTATAAACTTGATAGCTGCTTGAGTAAATTTTTTTGTATACCATATAATTATTAATTAACATCATAATATTTCTAACAACGTTAAACTTTTAAGAGCCAGTGTGTTATTGGATGTATGTAATATAACTATGAACAACGAAACTATTTAAACTTCTGTGTAAATAAAAAAAATGTTTTAAGGTACATTTTACTTTACTTTACATACTATAACATATTGTACAAGTTATCTTAAAATTAGACGTGAATCACACCGTTTCATCATAGTCCGATGTAATTGCAAACGTTGCCTTATACGTACTTAGGAATTTAAAACAATGGTGTCTCCAATTGTTTGCGCTGCTAGGATTACAATTTGTATTTTGATCTGTCTGTTGTTATGGTAGTAATGATGACTTATTTTCTCGTTTTTATTTCTTTGTTCTTTTCATTTTCATATGCTATGTTAATTTATTTTCGGTATTATATTGTCTGAACTTTTAAAACTTAAGCTTTTAACTATTATAATTTATTATTTTCTCGGAAAATAGTACTTATTTGTATGGATTATGAAAATATTTTCTTCGCTTTGTATAATTTTGAAACTCATTACATAACTTATACAATTAATTGATTTAAATTTTATTGTTTTCATATTGTGAGTCTCAAACCCTGACTGACACTGTAATTAAATATTATACGAGACTATTTTTATGATATAAATTAAAAGATGTGATTAAATGTATGGTTAAGTTACGGAATACATAATTATAAATGAAAATATTGATAATGTATAGTTGCGAGAGTAAGATAAAGAAAATTATCGGAGGTTAGTATATCCACATACAATCAGCCTGATCAGCTGAGAGTTTGGAAAACCTAATAGCCGATTAATTTTTTAAGGTTGTTCGGACACGATTAAATGCGGAATAAGTTTTAATGTATTATAATGAGGGAAATGATAATTTATTATGAATTGTATAGGAATATTGTCCACTATCTTGATCATGTATGTACGCGAGCCGTGTACGTGAAAGTTATGGTACAATTAAATAATGAATTCCATGAGCTGAAATGTAAAGAAGTGAATTAAATGATATTGGTAATTTTCTTGATCATGTACGCGATCCGTGTACGTGAAAGAAATGGCATACTTTCATGTTGTATATGAAAAAAAGAATAAAATAAAATATTGAACTGTAAAAGATTATGAAGATTAAGAGAATATTTATATATTACTAGCTACTAGCCAGGCAGACGTTGTTCTGCTCTTTTCGGCGACCCTTTCTCATAGCCTATTAAAATCCTTAAATTTGCAAAAAATATGTAAGTCACTCATGGTTAAAAAAAACTATCCTATCTCTCAAGCTGGACCAAACTGCACACGGTGTGCGAATTTTATTAAAATCTGTTGAGTAGTTTAGGAGCACATCAAGGACAAACAACGTGACACGTAATTTATATATATTATCATTATCGTCCTGACGAGATAAATGGTAGGCATAATAACAAAATGATTAAGGATACGAATAAATAATATTGTAAATTTTCGTGAAAATCAAAATATAATTTTATGTTATACATTTTTGCGTGCTAGATATGTCTTAGATTATAGTTTTTATAATGATATTAACCTTATTTAGAATAATCTTAAGAATCTATTTTAAGAATTGATAAAAAATATAGATAGCATATTTTTTATTCTTTTGTCGGTGGGAGGTGTAGTGTAGTGCTCCCACGTTAATATACTTTAGTGTTAAGTTAGAATAATGAGGCAGTATAATTAAAGTTTTAGTACCAACAACACGTCTCTCTTCATTGACACCTTTCATATATTAAAATCTTAAATATAAATAACTCCACATCAATAGATCCTACCCAAACTAAGCCAGGTCGGTTATATATTTAGATATAGTGTAAGAATTGTAAGATGTAACGACAATTAAGACACAACAATTTATGTTTTCTTTTTATAGAATAATACAGTCCACCGGATTGTAATTGAAAATAGCTTTAGCTTGAATATAGTATGTGCAAAATCGATTGAGAAAAACGGACAATGACCTTTCGATCGTTTTACCAGGGGTTAAATAAACAAACCTTCAAAATATAGGCACATTTTTAAATATGTAGTATTTCTTTATTTATAATGATTTTTTTAATTATTTTTTATAATGATTGATATAATATATATTTATTAACTATTATTAAAAAGTTATGTAAAAGATCGCTGGAGAAGAAAAATTATCCATTTTTATAAGGTACTTTATTCATTTAACAACAAAAAGATTTAATTTATAACACATATAAAGATTCGAGTGATAACTGATAACGACACCGAATAAGTACGTACTTATACAAAAGATAAAACTTTATTTTCAATATTATATAAAAACTTTATTTTTATTCGGTGCAATCATCACTCGTATCTTCACTTGATGTATGTATATTAATTATTCCTTTTTCTGGTATTTTATGGGAATCTCTATATACGTTTAATACGCGATATATAGTGCTCTTGCTGACTCCTGAGATCTCCGAAACCTTTTCTACCATTTTAATGTTTGAAGGATACACGTCTTCGGGCCAGGTGTTTTTGACATATTTGTATACATTAATGATAATCTCTTGTTCCCCGACCGACAAAGTGGTAGGTTTTCTCTTTTTTACTGGTGACGTTAAAGGTGCTCCAAAAGATGGGCCTGTAAATAAATGACAAAAATATACTACCATAGTACTACACAACATAAATGAATATTGTTTTAGAAAATAAATACCACATGGTCACATAAAAAGAGCGCTTTAAGAAACGGAAAGGCTACGTCGTCGCATTTTTACCTATTTGTACGTACCTACTACTTTTATTATGGGTCGTCGACGTCTCTTTCTACTTGACGTTGAAGGACCGGGTCCTTCACCAGATTATCCTGAACTCATGTCGATTTAGTAACGACCGTCATATTAAAACTAATATAACAGATTCAACAACAAAAACTTAACTATATAACAAATTTAACAGTAAAAACTCAAATAAAACAATGCAGTGAATGCTATGAAGTACTCGAGGCGTACACACTACACACGCAAGCGCTATCCGAACACGAATGAAAACAAAGTGGCGGAACGGCCCAAAAAAGGTGACACATCTCTGGCTGCCATTGTCACGTTTCTTTTAGAACGAACTGACGTAACGCGCGTTTTGTTTATTTTAAAGGGCTGAATTTGCAAAAGCTCTATATGGTGATTATATTGCTTCAAATATTTTTTTAATTTCAAACTGTTATTAAATGAATTGCTGCGTTACTTACCATAAATTGAAATATAAAATATAACACATTTTTCGCGATATACCGTAAGATTTTACGATGTTTATAGGGGCTACAGACAATGTTAATTAAGAAACTAACAAAACATATGTGCTGACCTATAAGTGTGAATAATATCAATATTTAAATATTGTTATCACATCTAAATTGAGATTTTGTAAGTTACGCCTTTTGACACTCGGCTCATAACTGATGTCGATTTGGCACATACTATAGATTGATTTCTGAAAACCTTCTCAATCGAATATGATTAAAGATTTTAAAATACAGAAACGCAGGATTTGTTAAATATACAAAGTTATTTTTCAAAGAGTAGGCAAATTTTAAACTTAAGTTCAAATATATAAGTAACGATATACCATTATTGCAGTTTTTGAAAATACAAGCGAATAAGGCTTCTACTTTTAGTTGAAATTATCTCAAATTGAATGTGTTTTATGGACAACGTTTTTGCCTACCGATCAACCCTTACGAATGTGTGCGTGTGTAGTAAATTTACATATATTTAACATTTCCTAAAAAGACGATACGTTTCGCCACTAGCCGACAGTGGTGTATTAAATTATGGTAAAGACAATAGTTAACATTTAGCCAAAATACCACAAAAATATTTATTTTGTTTTAATGAAGTTGATAATAACGTGAATGTTATTGCCAATTTAAATGTATTCGTTTTTAGATTTTCGTCTGGTCCAACTGTTGCTGCTCAACACAGACCACCCATCCTACGAGACATGAAACCATTACGATTTTCTAATTAAATTAGTCTGTCAAGGTTAGAAGAAAGAAAAGTGTGCGGGCGGTTCGTGAGATGTAACTTAAAGATATGTGTGTGTCTGTGAAGTGAATCCATAAATCGTACGCGTAAATATAGGAAACTATGAAAACATAACGTAATTATAAACAAATGAATGATGCGTAAAATACACCGTTAAATACATGTAAAGTTCTTTAAAATATATAGGTACATATATTTTACATGTCATTTACAACGGTAATCGCTTACCATAAATCCGTTAAGAGCGGAAAGTGCCTAACGGCGCCTCTACACGTTGGCCAACACAGTGGCGAATGTAGTGGCCAATAGCATTGGCGAACGTGTAGACGGGGTGTTTGGGCTTCATTGGTATGTATTGGAACGATGGCCCGCAAGTTGGCGCGAGATGCGTGTGGTGTCGGTTTTTTACAAAAGATCAAAGGATTGTTGGCAGAGTTTGGTCGCCGCGTCCACACGTTGGCCGCGCGTTTAGTTTGCTTCAAGCTCCCAGAGTGATTACACGCATCTGATTTAAATTTTATATTCAAGCTTTGTAGGGTGAATGCCCCAATTACCAGCCTTTTAGTGCCAATTTCAACTTTAAACATTCCTACTACTTTAATTAGCGCGATTTAATTATTATTGAACATTTGTTTTAATCAATAAGCTATTAATCAAAAAAAAATTAACGTTTTTTTACAATCAGATTATTACGAGAACAATTTTAAAATGAAAAAAAAAATGAAGCACGTCGTTTATACGTGGTAGAACCATGCAATTATATTAGAAGTATAGTTGCAGCACTAAGGTCGGCTCGACCGGGGAAGGACCACGCTCTCACAGAATATCAGCGTGAAATAGTAGCTTAATGATGCTGTGTTTCGTTTAGTGAGTGTAGAGAACCAGAGACCCTTTTTAAAGGAAACGAGGCATTTCATCTTAGTCCTCACGGGTGACAACGCATCTGCGTAATCGAGGATAGATGTAGATGTCTGTGGGCCACAGCAACCACTTACCATCAGGTGAACTGTGTGCTCGTTTGTCACCCTATCCTATATAAAAAAGCGTCGATTTCTTATAATTTAATCGTGCAAGTTTTCGAATCATCATCATCATTACAGCTCTTCACAAGTCCACTACTGAACATCCTCCTCCACAGACTGCCGCAAAGCATGGTCCTGAGCCACTTTGCTCGTCATGAGTTTTTCATTTATGTTCTAAGTTATAATTAGTACCTATTATTAAGTCAGTGTTAATTATATTTATTGCTATTGTTTTTGTCTTTCTCATAAAATAATTAAATTACCTAAATAAATTATAAGGTGTTTTTTATATACATCAAATGTCTGATAGAAATGCAAGTACATATTTTGCTAAACTTTAAAATCAAAACCCAATTTTAAAACATAGCCTAATCGATTATAACTCCTTTAACTTAAAATAAGTTAAGTTCTTATTAATGGTATTTATTCCAGTTTATGATGCATGTAAATAATAAATAAAGCTAATCGTATATCGTATATCTATTTACCACCCCATTAATATACACTATTATTTTATAACTTAAAAACGTTAACTCCACACTAGGATTTTCTCCCGTATCGCGCAGGCAGCTTACAAACATAAATTGCACAAGGACACACATCCAGACCTGAAACAATTATTTGTAGGACATACAAATACTTGTTCCGTGCGGGATTAAACCCGCGGCGCCCGGCGCAGCCACTCATTGCTGAGCCACTGCGCCACGGTGCTTACAAATTCGTCCGCACATTGGCCCGAACCGAAGTAAACTGAACGACCTTCCAACGTGTGGACGCCATCACCAACTCTCGGCCAATATATTCGTCACTCCATTCGCCACTGTGTTGGCCAACGTGTAGAGGCGACATTAGAAATACACAAACCTAATACATATTCTCGAAAACCATGACTTTGCTTCGGCCTCGGCCGCGACAGTCAGGTGAAAATATCTACATTAGGTAAAATTAACGTAATATAAAAGTTTAACCGAAAATTACCTTTATTTTTTTATTAATTAATTAGGGGTTGTAAAAGTGTTATTTAGATTTCTAATTATAATTACATATAGATTAATATAAACAAATATAATAGAATGACTGTTCGTCTACACAAAAAATAATACCTAACACAATAAATAGTCGATAAACTTGCATCGATACTTTTTTGAGTATTTCTACTTACACGTGCCGCCTGCAGCCCCTCTGATTAATAAACAGAGACGATACTATGATACTGCGTGCTTGACAAAGACAGCCTCAGAATTATGACCAGAACACGTTGAACCCTCACGGTTTTAGTATTTTAAGATTATTAAATGTTGCACATACCGGTGAACTGTGACTTTATCGTTCTTGAAATTATGTTTCCTGCTATTACTACCACACCATTTTACTGCGCAAGTAGGCATGTTTTACTGTTTTTATTTTATAAAATTGTAGCACTAAGGACGCAGTGCACAGGTCTGTTGTCTGGTCACTACTAAACAGGGTAGCGTTCGTGTTCAACTATATAGGCTCTGGTTGAGCCAATGAAGTACAGAAATTTGTCGCTTTTCGTTACATGTCTCGTAGGCTAGGTGGTCTGTGCTGCTCAATGAATTAAAAAAATTAGACTTAATCGCAAAGAAAACTAACGAAAACTAACTAAATTACGTTTCTAATGAAGTTTACTCCATTCGTAATATTGCTGAAAATAATCTGCGAAATTATATTAAGCATAATGCACAGAAAAACAATTCAGAGAAAGAGCTATCTCTCGAAATTATGGCCAAACTCATTGGTCGTTCTCTATTTCCTACTGTAGAAGAGCACATCAATTTGCAACATCACGACACAAATCTGACGCGCCTAATTGTAGAACATTATGTAAGAGTTCGATTCTTATATGAATCCAACAAAGATAATATTTCGCGGATAGCGTAATCAAAGCGCCAGTTATTTAGAAAACAGTTGCAGATGCAAGGTTATTAAGTAAGAGACATTTAGTTTAAGTAATTGGGTTTATAGTTATTTAATAAATATTTTTAGTTTCGTGTTTTATTTTAATAGTTTTTCTCCTTCCGAATCTTGTTTCGTTTTAATACAAAACGCATATTCAAAAAAATTATATCATATATTCATATAAATATATAATACTATATACTTATATAAATATATCTCTTCTAACGGAATAATATGACATAAGAGATTTGTGAATATTATTATAGCACAAGATATTACGTTTATAAATAATTTTAATAAAATATTAGTTAACAAATATACGTAATTTTATATTTCTCTCTTTGTAAATTATTAATAAATAATTCTAAACGCAACCTAAATATTAATTTTACGGCTATGTCTACTAATACACTTTGCACATTTTTTGGGGAAATCGTCATTTACTTGCATACATTACTCATTTGCTTGTGTGCGTGCGGGCAAACGTAATTACAGGCCGTTTATGCACACATTCGTTGTGTTGTTGCTTCAACTTTGAACGAAATTTTGAATGACACTATCACTTCAAGTCTAATTACTCTATGGATTAGGCTTCCAATATCATAATACAAAACTACGTACATATTTAAAAAACAACTTCATTCATTCATTCATAGACCTCCCCCATAGATTCGTAGGAGGGACACTTGCCATGTTTGGACGCTTGGCGGGCGTGCTGGCGACCAGTTTTTTTTTTTTTTTGAGTTTGTTATCAGGATTATGCTGTTTCATGACCGTCTGTCACCTTCTACGACACCCATGGGGTGAAATAGGGTATTCGATTTAGCCGCCACTACACTGTAAAAAAAGAATCTTATTTATTTTACTAAAAGCTATTCGTAATATTTCACGAACACAAAACCTATAAAATATTTGTTTATTAAGCTCTTCCGAAGGGATCGTAAAATGTTTTTGCCATCAAGCAGTAAAAGTTACGTTTGGTAGAAACAGTTAGTAAGTAGTAGATACATATTTATTGCGTTTTGTTTTACGGTAACGGTCTAGAAAAGATTTCAATAACCTATTATTTACTGTAACTTCTTTGTACAGTTTTTAAAATGTTTGTTAATAAATAAATCATATTACATCATAATCATATTGATGTCTAAATCAAACAGTAATCTCTGTATCCAGAAATTAAAAATTTTAAGTTGAAAATTTAATTTGAAATCTTGCATATTCTCAAGTATTTGTCGAGAAAACGCTTAATAAATTTTGGTTTTTAACTTTTATCATAGAAGTGATCGGTAAAAAAATCCGAAAACATCATGGTGGTTGAGAAATAGGTGTTGAACAAGCCAAAATGATTGTAATATTCTTTAATGTCTGATATTTTTGAATGATAAGTACTACCCTTCCTTAGTTCAAAACATGTAGATCTTGGTAGTCTGTGCGACATTTGCATTTGCTGCGTATGTTAAAAGTTAAACTTGATTATTGTCTCACTAGGCAATACACTTGCCTAGGATGTTACAATCCCGTGATAACCTCAGGCTTCCAATAACGCCCAGGCTACCTCATAAAGTCTAGCTTACGGTCGACAGCTGCAGTTATGGCAGTAGTTAAAAAAACATTAAATAAAAATTGAAAGAAGGTAAAACTAAAAACCTACAAAAAAATAATACAGTTCATTAGCGTAAAGAAACAGAAAAGACAGTAGAATTACTTTATTCAAAATTACGGAGATGACATTTTAAACAAGAGGATGCTTAAGCTGAAACTTTTAGTAGTAAGCCAGTTATTAGTCGACGGCTTCGAAATCGGTTAATAATACATTCTTACAGTTAAATTACATATACATACAAACACATTAAATCAGATGCCAAAACATTAAGTTTTGTTTGATTACTGTTTAAAATCAAAAATAACGATTAATTAAAACAAGGAAGAAAACATGTGTGTAACATGTTTCTTTGTCCTAAACAAATAGCTCAGAACAAGGCTCAAGATTACGGTCTCAATAAACTATCATCAATCAATATAAAAAGCTGGTTTTCTTCAAAATAAATAAGTTGTTGAATGGAGGACAAGTTATGGGCTACAGTAGCCACTTATGTCAGGGGATTGTTAGTTCGTTTACAACTTCAATTCCATAAAAAAATTACAAACATAAAATATATAAGCAAAACACACTAATCATTAATTTAAATCAGTCTAGTTTTATAGGAAGCCTAGGTAACCAACGGGATCCTATTACTAAGGCTCCATTTTCGGTCTGTCCGTCTGTCCCTCCATCCGTCCCTATGTTTGTCCATCTGACCGCCTGTCCATCCGTCTGTCTGTTAGCTTAAGATAGGATTTTTTTCTCGATTTTAATTATGGCAATAAGCAGATGCTTGAAATGCTCACAAGGTTTATATTGCTATATTCTACCTACATAGTAGCTACCTACAAATTATATTTTAGATGATTGTTCTGGTAATTCATGCCAAATATTTGAAAAGAGATAGTGTTGGCAAACACGTGCAAACCTGGGCACAAAAAGTTGTATTCTGTAATTAACATTTTTTTAATAAATATTGGTATTAAATTCATGGATGCATTACCACAGTCAGTATAAATGCAGTGTTGTGATGTACTAGCAGCTCTCTTGTAACGAGGGAAATAGATAGGGGCCGATTCAATGGATCTTTGATCTGGCAGATAGGCAGGTGCAGGAGCAGGTTCAGATGGCAACTGTGGTATAGCCATTTCATATTGAGAGTCTTGTGCAGCTTGTCGGCTAGCTCGCCGCCAACAATTATGACAAACTGCATAGCTATCTCTTCCATTCTGAAAATAAATATCATTGTTAAATAAAGCAATTTAAGAAAATGATAAATAACACAATCCCTTAAATAACTAAGTTGAGTAATAAAAAAATTCCTAAACCAAGGGAGTTTTGATGTTTATCTAAGGTATGTTTAAAAAATGGATCAAATATATAATGGATATAGGTAGTTATAAGAATATTTTTCTAATATGGTATGTGTCGTTAACATTAACCATATTCAATATAAGTAATAATAGGTAAATACCTGTATTGATCTAATCCACGGAAAATATTCATAAAGTGGTCCATTTTCTTCAAGAAAATGAAGTCTAGTTTCTTTCAATGAACAGCCACAACCAGCACAGACATTAGTATGACCTAATGTCCTAGGTGTGTTTACATCAGCATTTTGTATCAATACATAACAACCATGACACAACAAATCTTCCATAGGAAGCTGGAAAAAAAACTATGGGTGTTAGTTAGTTGTCACATTCCATAAAAAATGATTAACTAAGTAGAGAGATATGTTATCTTACGCGTTGACAATGAGTTAAGACCTGAAGTTCGATTGTATTAAATAATATTTTGTTCTTTATACAGTGAGGTCTCGCACTCAGGTTTCAAGTTATCGTGTTACACACGTACAAGATACTTAGATATATAAAGATACTTACATTATCAATTCTCAGCCAAATAGATAAGATTATTAGCAACTCTTGAGGCAGAGTAGTAACCACATGCCTCTGTATTCGTTGAACGCGTAACCCGCAGTTCAGGCAACGCAACATTTTGTATCACAAATGAAAAGTCCAAATCACAAAACACAGTCAAGTCTTTATTAGAAAAAAGCTGAAGTCACCGAATAAAACGACACTATCAATATCCATAAGACGAAGCCAAGGTAGATTTCTAGTACATAGTGAGTAATCTATGGTAAATTTTTTATCGAGCAGAAGAGTTTTTTTTAACAGTTGTAGCGATTAGCGATTAGGGATGTTCGATGATCATCGATGTTAGAAATTAAAACATCGATGTTTTAACATCGATGTTGCCACATGCTAAACATCGTAACATCGATGATGCCACATGTCAAACATCGAAACATCGATGTCAATGAGCCAATAACTGATTAATAAGAACTTGTGAACAATGCGAACCCGCGAAATCAATATCAACTAAATATTTCATCTCCTATTAAAGGTTTAAAATTTTGAATAATTTAGGATTCCTAAAGGCATCAATCACCTAAAAAATATCATTATGTTGTGTCAAACTCCCTCTCAAGTGTGAACCGCAATGTCACAGTTGTCACTGCTTTTGCTTTGTTATTATGTGGTGTCATTGTCGATTGTCGCCTAATAACTATTCTACATAAATTGATATACAAATAATGTTTTTTCTCTTGCTGTTTATACACACATAATTTTGAAACAATGTGTATCTACACAATCCAATTATATTTAGCTATTTTTTTGAGCTTGGGATATTGAGTTTATTGTTTGCTTGAAGTTTATGAAAATAAATCACTGGGCGATTGTGAGCATAGACAATTTCACTGCATAGTGCATTTTATAAACGGCTGTGGATACTTACCTGATAAAAAATAGTGAACAAAAGTGACGGAAAAGTCTATTTTTTGTTTTTGTGAAGTTTGCTAATTCGCCCTCTATAATCATATTTTTTATTTCGCGATAGGAGTGGTTAATATAGAACCTACTTCTAAATCGTAAATTAGGTCTCATAGTAAATTTTTTCGTAGATTTTTGGTTGTATAGGAACATTTGAAGATCAAAATAATAACATTAATCATTATCTGCAAAAAATATAACAAATTAACTAAACATTTGTTAAGTTTTGCCCATTTTTTTAAATTACTAATATAAATAATAAGCACTAAATGTTTTATAAATTTCTTTCATTTCATTAATAATAAACTATAAACTACACTATACACTAAATAATGACCAACATCGATGTTTTAGTAGGATAAACATCGAACATCGATGTTTCAGCAACATCGATCATCCCTATTAGCGATAGCGAGGCGACCCGCTCATTCATCAAATCCTTAGAGCATACATTACATACATTGTAATGTATGCTCTAAGATCAAATCAGAATGAGTGACAGTCATTTTAGTTTTTTGGAATGTTTTTGACTTGGAGCTAAGTCTTTTGAGCCATTATTTTATTAGGTTTTTGCTTGAATTATATTTGTTTATTTGAAGCCTAGATATACTTATACACTACCACAAAGTACTTTTTTACTTTTGAGTACCTAGAGACATCATTTAGATCTTTATTAAACTCGTTGATGATTTAAATGTGAAATAATAATCGATATTGGAATGGATTACTTTTTACCCATATACATTGGCCAATGGACGCGATTCCAGACCGTAAAAATCAAGCATGAATTAATTATTGAAATGATGATACATTGCAATGTCAACAAGAACGTCTTATTTTTTATTATTTTTATCCAGTGCTTCATGTGATTTAAAATTAACAACATAATTCTAGTTTTTATTTATTGAAGCAATCTTGTAATATACTTTATCTGGGTATTTCTGGGGCACAGATGGGCATTGTCATTTATGATTTAATCATTTTCGCTACGGCGCTACAATACAGTTGCATTGCTGATTTCGATTGATCACTCGTTTTGAGTTATTCCACATTCAAATCGCATGTCCTAAAAAAGTAAATCCGTGTGGCTGAAAATGCCATCATCTGTTGATACTGTTAGGATCCCAAAAAGATGACAGCTTTTGCTGTTTCCATAGCCTTTCGATCATCCTTGGAAGGAATCGGCCAACAATTAAGGGCTATACCTCGATATCGTTGTTTATCACTAGCAACTTGCTAGTGACAAGTGACAACTTAAACTGCCGTCGAATTTGGTAGAAACATAATGCTATAAAAAATCACCTAAATCGGTTTTTTCTTCATTTTTCTTTTATAAATTAAACCTTTGACCATGGAGATATCGTGTTATTTAACGAAATTAAAAACACAGACTGTGGAACTTTAGTGGCCTGATAGAGTCAGTTAATAAAGATACAAGTTGAATTGCTACTATATTTTATCTGTGTTTATCCAATATCGCATCCTCGGTATGTCATCAAGATTAAATAAATAAAAAACCACCAGCGTTGAGAAAAATATATTTATTCGTATATTAAGAAGACAAAGCGTCTCTTTTACTGGGATCGCAACAAGGCATTCTAGGTTCAGTGTGCGGACAACTAAAGGCAACATCTTCTTCTTTGTGCGGAGGACAGGAATTATATTCTTCTGTCTGAGGTTTCATACAATTTTCAAGTGGAGGTGAAGCTTCTCTAGGAAAGCCGGCCACCCTTTCTGCCTCCGGCGATATCCTCGGTATCTGCTGCCGTAACGTCTTAACGCGTTCGTATGCGTCCTTTGGTAAACGCATGTAATCGGTTACCTAGACATTACAAATGTTATGTAAATACGTATGTATTATGAGCATTTGCGTTCGTAGGTAAAACAGTAGTTATAGCAGAAATAAGGATAACTGTAAATACTGTTTGCTTACAAAAGAACGGATATTTATGTTCTTTTTTTTAAATAAATAAATAGTAATAAAGCTATTAACAATATTAGCATACCCGTTAAACACTTCATCATCATCATCATCATTACAGCCCTTTACAAGTCCACTGCTGAACATAGGCCTCCCCCAAGGTATGCCACAAAGCACGGTCCTGAGCCACCTGCATCCATCAACTTCCTGCATGTCTTACCTGGTCGTCACTCCATCTAGTGGGGGGTCGCCCTACACTTCGTCTACCGGTACGAGGCTGCCACTCGAGAACATTTTTTCCCCAACGGTTGTCGGTTCTTCGAGCTATATGGCCGGCCCATTGCCACTTCAGCTTACTAATACGTTGGGCTATGTCGGTCACTCTGGTTCTACTGCGGATATCCTCATTTCTAAGTTTATCACGCAGAGAAACTCCGAGCATAGCCCTCTCCATAGCTCGCTGAGCGACTTTGAGCGTCCTCATACGGCCAGCAGTGAAAGACCACGTCTCAGTTCCATATGTCATCACTGGCAACACGCACTGGTTGTACAACTTAGTTTTCAGGTTTTGAGGTATACCTGACGAGAAGATGTGTCGTAATTTCCCGAACGCTGCCCAGCCGAGTTGAAACCGTCGATTGACCTCTCGGTCGAAGTTGGACTTACCTAGCCGGACTATTTATCCCAGGTAAACGTACTCGTCAATAACTTAAACACTTCAAGTAAGCTTAAAATGCTTGTGTTAGCAGTAGTTCAAAAGAGTATCCAAATGGCGTGTTTGAACCCACGACTATCCGAATTTTCAGTCCACACCCGAAACCATTATAGACTACAGTCGCTTTTAATTTATCATATTATATTATTTATGAACTATAAGAATGACACTATAGAGTGACCCACTAGGAAATCGGAGCAGAAGACACATCATGAATATCTCTTAGACATTCCCTCTTCAGCATTCTCGCGCTTCAGAAATCTAATTTTTGCTTTATACAAGGTTAAAACATACTGCCCCATACCTGTATTTACGTAGCTTCGCCAAAATTAATATGGATTATTTCATGAATGACGCATATAAGCTCAACATAAACGCTGTAATAGAAGCTTATCAGTTGATGTTAAAGTGTCCCTTCTCAAAAATCTAATAATTTGAAGATAATTTTTACTAAGTTTAAACTTCAGGGTATAATATTTAATTGAGGCGTTCTCCTGCTCTGTTGTGCAAGGAAAGCTATGATTAAACGGAATCAAGCTTTCTTACATTTTAATAGAGATTGAACTGAGGAGAACAGGGTTGTCTTTAATACGGCAAGGAATTAATGAAATCAGATGGTACGTGCTGCTAATCGCCCGTATTTTTATAGTAATATCATTAACTTTTCATCCGCAGCTATGTGGGTCTCTGACGGGATCTATGACCAGCTGTGGACTTTTAGGGCTGGTGAAGAAGATACAACATAAAACATAAGTTCCGAGATATTAAACTATTCTAATCTCACTAATCTGTGACTTATATAGAAAAATCTGACAAAGCTTTATGGCTTCCTGGGCAATGCGTCTCATTAAAGTCAAAACGTTATTTAATGAGACGCATCGAATATTTCCCTTAAGGCGTGGTCCTAGCGAAAGACCTTGAGCGTTCGGTCCCATACATTCCACGCGCTCTCGCTAAAATAAATCGCGTAAGTACGCCCAAATTTTAAAATATTTTCTTTATGAAATCGAATTTTAGTCCTTTGAAAAAATTAAATTGATCAAAATGTTCATTAATAAATTGGCTGTCCAGTAGTATCAATAAATTGACTATCCATTAGTGTCAATGATTAGTGTTATCAACAATTTAATGCGCATTTCCGTGGTTTAGTTGTAGGAATATTCATCAAGTACTTTTTATTATGTGCGAGCAGCTATGCAGGTCTAGGGAAAGAGACCAGTATCACTGCGACCTAGAAGATGTATTGTGATCGCTGTTATGGCTATAGTTCACGTCTAAGCCCTCAAGTCTCAAATCAAGTATTTACTACTTTTAAAAAACATTGTAACTGGCTATTATGGGATCAAGATTATGTAGAAATTAAATAGAATTGATCTACTTTGTTATTATTTTTTTTTAATTAATAACAAGTAGATAGCTCCTAAAATCTCACAAATAACGACTAGCGCGGCATTTTGCTCAAACATATATAACAGATAAAGATATACTAAGTTAAGCCGAATAGGGTCGAACGTTGAACGTAATATATTTGGAAAGCGAGATCAAGAGAGAAGTTATATTGCTATTTTCGTTTCTGGTTTCGAAACTTAATTTCGAAAGCAGTCAAAGAGAAACTTAGATGTATTGTCAATAACACGAAAGCAATCATAAAATATTCAGAGTCTAAAATTAACAATGAGTTTTTGCACTATACATTAATCTTAATATATATATATATACATAAATGACGTTTCACGTTGTTTGTCCGCGGTGGACTCCTAAACTACTTAACCGATTTTAATCAAATTTGCACACCGTGTGCAGTTTGGTCCAACTTGAGAGATGGGATAATTTTTTTCCCCAGGAGTGACCCACATTTTTTTTTCGAATTTAAGGATTTTTAATAGGACATGACAAAAGATCGTCGAAAAGGGCAGAACAACGTCCGCCTGGCAAGCTAGTTAGTATGTATATTTGCCGTGGTTGCCACGATAGTCCGGCGTGTCAGCAACCGCAGTTGTTTTAGTTTCTCACTCTCCCACTTTACGACACCCAGACAAACGAGAAATGCGCACTCAGTCTACCTGGTGGCAAGTGGTTGCCGTGACCAATAGACATCTACTTCTATCCTCGATTAAGAATCAAAATGAAGATACGTTGTCACCTGTGAGGACTAAGATGGAATGCCTCGATTCCAGTAAAAGGGTTTCAGGTTCTCTGCACTCACCATACGGAACACAGCAACAGCTAGGATTCTGTGAGAGCGTCCCCGGTCGAGTTGACCCATTCGTGCAACAACCATAATTTAGCTGCAGCATGGCAGTGTCATCTACAAAAATACTAATGGATTCCCGAACGTCACCACTAAACGAAAATAATATTTTACACAACGTTATAAAGCCGTGTGACGCAAAACTTTTAACTTTGCGTACATTGATCGCCATTTTTATATTTCGTAATTTTAAGATGTCGTTATCGCTAAAAGTTCAACTCTTTCTCTATTATGACAAAAAGAATTATGATTATGCGGGTAATAATAAGTTTTTGCCACGCTTACTTATTTTCGCACTGGCGATAAACTGAATTCAAATAAATTATAATATTCTAAAACAATTTTAAAATGTAACCGACCAAAAATATTAAAAATTTAAATTATTATATATTTAAAATATTTATACGAAAAACATCAGTTACATAAGAACTATGAAATATAGGACTGAATTATCAATAAGGCCCTATCCTATGCCTCAGTAACACAAACATGCACAACGATCAACTTTATGTATAACTTACATCTCTCAATTAAACTTTGTGTAACTTACATCCTTGCAGTCAACACCATACGTGCCAAGATACCCTGGAAGTCGAGGCTCATCACTATCCTCTGTATCACTGAGCATTCGTGCACTGGGTGAGATTTCATAAGGACATTCATTTCTTGCTCGTCGGTCAGCCCTTTTTGCTGCACCCTGTATACAAATTATTTTGATGATTCTCTTTTATTTGAACACTTGTGCTTCTCATGAGGTCCGATATAAATTTTGTTCAAAATCTGACCAGTAGTTTTTGGATTAGTATTTAATTGACTTCAACTGCATTGACGTTATTCTCATTTTATCTATTTTTAATTCTGTTGTACATTTTTTTAATTTAACCACTTGTGTATAATAACATATACAGTATTAAAGGAATACATTTGTGCTATGGGACATTTATAGACAATTCGATATTTAAAGAAAATTAAATCAGGGTGATTTCGTAACTGTTTCGATATTGATTTTTAAAAACCTTATTTTGCCATTTCATAAATATAAGATAATGTATTTTTATCAATACGACATGAACTTAATTGACCTTCATTTTAATTAGAAATGACGTCATAAGCTAGGCTGAATGAATTCACGACAATATCTAGTAATTTAAAAACCGTGTTTCTTTGCTTGTAAAGTTGTTAACGGTCACGTCTCGGTTTTGTTTATAAATTACGATTATATATGTATATAAATTATGATGCTTATAAATTATAATTTCCATAAAAAATGCATTATAAATTTGAGCTGAAAAGCATAGCGGCTAGTTAGCGTATTCGCTCAAAAATTTAAAACGATAAATTAAAAGTTATTTTTATGACACTATTCGATTTTGAAAAATTATATAAAAATCATAGTAGTTCATTATCACTTCACACTATGCCGTAAAAATGCCGTATGAAAATGGGTTCAATACCCTATTGCTCGCTACCCCTTTCAGAAAAAAGATAAGGCCGGCCTGTACCAAGCCTTAAGACGTATAGAGGCTGAAATTTTACTGTATTATACTATCAATTCTACATAATAAATATATTACGATCTTAAAAATATGTTATTAAATACTTGCCACTTAGAACATCTAACCGTATCATAACATTTATATTAATCAATAAAAAAAGTACAAAAACTAAGCTGGGGTCTGTTTAACTTGAATACTAACTACTATTTGTATGTACTTTAATTCATTTTATTCAGTGTACTTCAGTAAATATAAGAAAACATTAAATAAGGAGCTTGTGTTTCATTGTGCCGAATAATATATAAAAGAAATATGCTTAAAAAGAAAACCTTAGCAATACCAAGAACGAAATACATTTTATAAAATAAATTACATGTAATTATTTATAATTTAAAGCCCTTATAAATTTAACATACACTTTAGTTATTATTAAATATTTGGGTGGTTAACATACTTTTAATAAAAAAAAAATACCAAGCTCTGGTTTTATATCTAGTGCCCACTAAATCTATGTCATTTTATATATTGTATTACAAATTAAAGACATTTGGAAAACTAACGGTTAATCTCCTAAAGTAAAGTTTCGTACTTTATATAATTATGATAAACCTACCGGGTCTTTGTATTTGTCACAGAAGTTCGGATCTTCGTTAAATTGTTGAACACCTGGATAATATTCAGGCACAGAATTATTTGCAGGATGTTCTCCAGCTGTAGGTCCACTGAAGCACACTATCTTCTGATGATCTTCACGTGCTTCGCCAGATTTTAGTATGCCTTTCAGTGGTAATACGTTGTCACATGGTGGCTTGCTATAACATAAATGAAATTTAAGAATTATACAGTTTTCTTATTCCCTTCACAAAGACATGCCGATTTTACCTAATTGCGAAGTTTTGCGCAACTTGACGATCACAAGATTAGACTTTGCGTATTTTTATTCGATAGTAAAGTCTGATACATATATAGTAAAATCAGTATTAAGGGGAAATATAACCTCAAATGGCTTAGCAAGATCCTCCGTTATGCCGAAAGTATTGCAGCATTAATTTTGAAATAAATATATGGTAAAGTTGAGGATTAATGTTAAGGTTTATGTTAGACGAAAACACGATTCCGTAAAATTTTCTCGATAGAAAAAAAATCCAAAGTTACCTCCAAATTGAACAATAAACCGCTGTTATTCATAAAATACTTTAAATAAGATCATGAAACTTTGCATACTAACTGAACTAACCATAAAGCAGTGCTTATGTTATTTACTTTTTTTAAAATATCATTATTTTCACTGTAAAAAAGAAATTACCTAAACTATCGGCGCGTAAGCTTGGTTCCTGCGGAGCGACAGGAAAATTTTACGGAATCGTGTTTTCGTCTAACATAAACCTTAACATTAATCCTCAACTTTACCATATATTTATTTCAAAATTAATGCTGCAATACTTTCGGTATAACGGAGGATCTTGCTAAGCCATTTGAGGTTATATTTCCCCTTAAGAGTTGACAATGTGCAATTTTTATTTGTATAACGCGCTATAATGGGGAACTTCTAGTGAGGGAATAACTATTATCTTAAACACATTGTGTATTTTACATTTCAGGTGATAGATAATTTATGGTTTCCTTGGCAGAGGTCTATTGTTCATCGGTGAGCTGTAATGATGATAACGACGATGAAGACAGAAATAAAATAAAATGAAATAAAAGATAAAAAATATCTCTACCTATAGTAGAGATATTTTTACCGCTATCTATCAGCTGTCACAAGTTTGTTGGCATTTTAACGGCTGTTTATAAAAACCACGAGCTGAATTGTATAGATGGATGCTCTAGGGCACCACTCGACGCCGAAGTCTTCGCTAACGTTATAAACTATCAAATATACATTCAAAATATAGAAAAATCTTGACCAATTAATTACTCTCTTCCCCATTTTATAAAATATTTAAGATCGGTAAGGTACTTATTTCGTATTCAACATGTAAGTAAAATAAATGAATTTATGGGTAGACCGTTCAGGGTTTCTTCACTCATTCACTGCCTAAGCCTCGTTAATTATGCGCACTTTATTCCTTTGACAAATTTTATTGCTAATATTGAACAGGCAAAGCCTTCATTAAATTAAGATGGCAAACGTAATTATTCTAAGATTGCAAAATGAAATATTGCAAAGTGTGATCATCCAAGGCCAGTTTCATTAAGATCGCTATGACATAGTTTAATCTTTGCAATCGCAATAGTTTTTTTTTTAAACTTTACATTATAAATGAATTGTAGGAATTGTCTAGCTATATACCTCTGGGCTTAGTAAATTCTTCCGTCAGAGGATTAGTGATCCGAATACATTTATTATAATCACATTTACTCTTAAGTATCTATGTAATTCGCTACATCATTACGTCACGCATTCTTGATACTCCCTATAATCTTACACGCTAATGCTATTTTTGTACTCCGTGTAAACGAATTCACTACATTAAGTTATCTCGTGGGTGTCGTAAGAGGCGAGAAAGAGAAACCAAAATAGAAGATTAGGAGAATAATTTTCTTGATACAACTTTATAATGAAATAAATTTCGGTGCCTACCCGCCTTCCAAGCGTGAAAACTACGTCAAATAAATGTGGGCGGTGGTGCATCAAACATCGTCATTTTGAGCACATGGTTTGACCACTAACACGCATTGGGGCAGCGAAGCAGATCTTTTTCTACGCAAAAAACCTTCTCAGAAATGAGAACATGCATGAGTTCAGTAGCGGAATAATTTATTGTTGCTGTTGATAATTTACTGTTTCAATTAGTGAACATAATATTTTAAAGCAGTAAGCATACCTTTTTTACAACAGCATATCATACTATTAATAGCTGCATCAGATCTGATATGGGGACTATAAAAAAGATTTACCTGAGTCTAGCAGCGCGCAAGGAGTCCTCATATGATATGCGATCAGTTGTCACAGGCGGCGTGGGCGGCCGCGGCGGCGTGGCGCTGCCCTCCACCACGCGTAGGTCCGCCAAGCAGCGCTCCATTGCGTCGGGCTCCGCCACTGCTGCTTGACCAATCTTGGCAAGCTGAGCGCGTGTTTCAGTATCTTCTTGTTCTCTAACTGCTTCCTATTATTATTTTAAAGGCGTTATTTTACTTAAAAAAAAAAAACAATAATTTATTTTAAACATCATCAGGCAAAGGTAATTTTGCGAATCGTAGTATCTAGTGTAACTGATTTTAATGTACAGTGTCAATGGGTGCTACAAAGCACTCGAAACATCAGTACTTATTGATATGTTCAGATATAGAATGATAAAACCCAAAATATTAGTTTTATTTAACGCTGCTATTGTAACAAAAGTAGGCCGTGTGGTGGTGGCGCGGCGTTAGAAAATCCTTCATGCTATTCCTTTATTATTTTCAGCGTTTACGATATATATATATATATATATATATATATATATATATATATATATATATATATATATATATATATATATATATATATATATATATATATATATATATATATATATATATATATATGTATATATATATATCGTAAGTGTGAAAATTGCTGAAATTCAAATTTTTTAAATCAACACAAAAGAATTAAGAAAGAAATTAGAAATTATGCTAACAAAAAACTTAATTAGCGCCTAAGATCTCAGTTACCCTTGAACATCGGAGTTATTAAAATAATAACACTGTAATACTGTATTGAGTAATAAGTAACAATAAGAAGTGAAAAAGAAGATTATGATTTTCTCTAGTAGCTAGTTAGAACAATCTAGTTTGTTTTATTCCATAAATATCTTTCTTTCACATCTCCTACTCTAAATAACTAAGTGCTACTTTAGCAAAAATCTTTTAAATCTTTTAACAGACATTGCGTACGGCAGTTATAGCACACAGGCTTTCAGATTATCGTACATTTTACCTCAAGCTCGTCCTTTAGGTTGCCCTCCCGCATGTGATAGTTGCGCACGTTGTCGATAACCTCCTGTGGGAATTTCTCGGGATTGGCGCTCATGTATCTATACACGAAAAGATCGCAGCCCACGATCTTGAAACGATGTTTGAACACAGGTATTATTGCTCCTACAACATCAAGTTATTTTATTATCAATCAAAAATGGATTCCAGTTTTAGGAAATTACTGTAAGTGTAAATAAGTTAATTTTAAATATTTTTTATCAGATTTAAGACCAAATCTATTAATTATTCAGTTTAATTTGTGTTGTGCGTAGAATTCGAATTAGTTGTAACCCTATATTAATAGCAAGCGGTTACTCAGTGGTTCTCATCCAACCGCAGCCGACATTTACGCACGAAGACTAATTGTTGTGGTGCCTCTGAAATTTTAAGAAAGCCTTCCTTCAAACTTACTGCTTTAAAAGAGAAACGCCACCTCTTTGCCTGGATGGGATCTATTAACGTGGTGTTATTTAGATTTATAATAATCTACTTTTGTAATATCTTTCTTTTTTTAAGTTTCTTCGTTTTTCTGATATAATATAGCCTAGATCACACCTGACATCGCTCTCAATCTGTTCTCTAAATCTGTCTAGTTTTATTACCATCGGTTCAGCCATTCCGAAGATAAGCCCGGACAGACTAAGGCTCTGTCCTATTGCCATCGTTCGCGCAATCATGCCTGCGTCCGACGAAAATGATCGTGTGACCGTGCGTTTAAACATACTCATACCTGCGGAATATCCTATAGAAGGTCGTGCGATCATGCGATGCGACCAAAGTGTCTAGTTTCGTCGTGCGATTATCGACGCATCGTATAGATCGGACGATCGTCCGATCAAACATACTAATCAGTACAGAATGTACGAACGGCGCTCGCCCGACCAAGGGGCGGAGACAAGGGAGGGGTACCACGACGTGCGCTCGACTCGACCGCCTGCCATTATGAATTACTGTATATAAACTAAATTACAGATGAAATCAAATGTTTCTGTTGAAAGACAAATAGTTGTAAAAATCTTGTTCGTTTTGCCGTACGTCGAAATACTGATGTTGAAATTCATCGCACTGATTTCTGTTTTTATACAGTATATTATATATTGGTATACGTTTTTTTAATGCTGTGCGGTGATCGCATCGCTCCAAAATAAGACACACGATTTTTAATCGTGCGAGCGGATTCGTGGATTCGTCGGACGATGAAATCACATCGCATCATCGCGCGAGCGAAGGCAATAGGACGGTGCCAGACAGATTGCCAGACAAAAATTTTTAAAAATCATTTTTTTCTTTTCACGCTTTAATGGCGTGCAAACAACCTTCTTAGCCCAATTTATGAGAGTTGTTTCGATAATACAGTATGAGACTTTATTTATATGTATAGATTAAAAGAATTAGATATTAGAGAATTGGAAGTTAAAGTTTTCCACTTTTTTATGGTGTACGGGATGATATATGCTGAACGTGGGCGCCTTCTTAGGAATGATATGATAGTCGTTACGGTAGCTTGCTGATCGCAGTATTAGACTTCTTGCTACTTTAGCACTGCTTCCCGACGCCGACCTGGGTACCATTTCAAGTTTTTTATAGTATTATGGGTGACAAACGAGCACACAGTCCACCTAATGGGTAAAACCCACTTCTGTGGCTCACAGACCCTCAGTTGAGAATCAAAATACAGATGCATTGCCACCACTGAAAACTAACGCGTTGGCCTATACTGACTGCGGGGAGCAGAGGTGGCCTGCGGAGGCGGGAGGAGTGAAGACACTGCAGGCTGCAACTTGCTACTGTAGTGTGCCACGTTGAGGCGGCTGCATGACATGTAGTTTCTTCCTTCTATTTTTGCATGGTCTGAATGTGACTAGAAGGAAGTAGTTCTTTTGTATAAGGCATCAATTACGAGTAGGTGAATATCATAGACTTTATGATGAATTACGTCAATAACCATTAAAGTTTTGAGAAATAAAATATTATGCATGTAATTTTCATGCTTACTAGTTCATATTACAGTGTAAGACACAATTTCGCTAATAATCGTCTCCATTTTTATGTCGCGGATAAATCAACATGGTACGATTAAAACGCAAGACGCGCGCACACGTACAACGAACACGATTGTCGCGGTCACCTGACGCACCCGCCAGACGCAAACATCGTGACACCTGACGTTCGTCTGGTATTGTTATTTTTCCCGCTCATTGCAGACGCAAGACGTGTCACGCTGGCGTGGCACACGACTAAAATCTAATACCATACCAACCAGTAAACACACAGCAACATAAAGCTGCTATTTTACACTTGTATTCTCGGAGAGCGTGGTCCTTCCTTGTTTGAACCTACCCATTCGTGCTACAAATATAATATAGCTGCAACGTGTCTCTACCACGTGTTAAAATGTCTGGCGTAACCAGGATGATTTTTTGTCTGCCATTATCTATAAACACCCCCTTACAACATGCATGGGATAAACCGGACTGATGTTTTCATAACCCCCCCCCCCCCCCCATGGTAAACATTATACACATTTTTTATAGAGAGGATCAAACAAGCATGCCGCTAACTTGATGTTAAGTAACTACCGCCGCCTGTAAACAACTTCAATACCAGGGTAATAAAAGGAGTACCAAGGTTCTTTAATTGAAGGTCCCTAAGTCATTTCATCACAAGAAAATTTGTTTTAAGTCCGGAATATCCCCGTCAGCACCAATGAAACTGTTAATTGAAATATTAAGTGCTAATTTACTCCGTGCTCAGTGGTGAAGGCAAACATCGTGAGGAAACCTGCATGTCTGAGAAATAAGAAAAAGATATGTTTCAAAGACATGTGAAGTTTGCTAACGCACATTGTTACACATTTGCTTGCCCTAAAACCCTCTCAGAAATTAGAAATTTCTCTAATTTCTTCTTTCCTAATTTCTTACTTATTAAAACGTTATTAGAATAACGACCTTTAAAGTTGCGGATTTTTTTGTAAGCGAGCAATCCGAGCTCGATCCCGTTTCGTACCGCCATTTAATGCAAAAAAAGTGGTGGTTTATGTATGGTAGTTGGCCTATTTCGTAAGGAAACTTGTTTGACTGAGAAATTGAAAAAAAAAATCGAGAATATGTGATGTCGGCAAATATACGGGCATAGCGGCGGATCTTCCATGCCCCGAAACCCTCTCAGTAAAAAGAGACCTGTTCCCTGTTCCCAAAGTATGTAGGTCATTACTTACTTTATAATAATTATAATGTCATCCAGACCGTTTTTAGTTACGGTGGGCAGTCTCAATGAAGACTACCCATCTACGCAGAACAAGATTATAGTGCCCCAGTGTAAGGGCAAGCACAGGACGGAAAATGAGAGTGAGGCAAAAGGCATACTCTATTCCCTCACTCTCATAATCCGATGAACGACAATTCGATACGATCGGAGGAGATCAGGCGCAAGAACGACGTCTTTACCTGCTTTCCGAGGCTTGGGGTGAAATACCACCAACTTCTTACTCAAGATTTCTACTGAGAATTTCTAGACAGAAAAACTCAATAAGTGGTTTTTTTTGGCCAAACCCGAGAATTGTACCCGGGACATACTCATACAAACGTCCTGCCAAAGACACCTTATAGAACTAAAATACAAAGATTAAAATAAATTATAGTTTTAATATTACCTATATAGAACTTATCGGGTGTGTAATATGTAGGAAAATTCGGATCCGAATCGGGCGTCTGAAGCCGCATTGAACTTAAGAATTTTCCTTCTCGTATTCCAGAATTCCGACGTGGAATCTCACCAATCTTGATTGTGCCGTCTGCTAGACTGTATGATAGAACGAACTTTCTATTCTTATCCTCTGGATGGATCCAGTCCAGCTCGCAAAGATAGCGAAGGTACTACAGACAGAAACAAAATAATGAAAATGGCGTTGATTAACGTAATCAAAATTATTTTATATTCTTTATTAATTTGATGAACTGAAAAAGGACCAATCATTCTATTGAACTAAATGTTTCTATATTGTCTTTTTTAATTTCACACACACTAGAATTTTCTCAAAAATAAGGCATTTTAAAGGCATTTTACAAACAGAAATTGCACATGAACAAAAATCCGGGGCCAAAACAAATGATTTGTAGGCCATTCAGATAGTTGTTCCGTGCAGCACGCAGTGCCACAAGCAGCGCTAGTGAGCTGTCAAACTCTTTATAGTAGAGTATATCCTCATGAACATATGTAGCACCAGAGGATTTGCGGGTGCGTTGATGGCTTTTAGCTATTTCTTCATTTTCCTAACATCATGTTCATAAATAATTGTATGAAGAGAATTAATACAAACATGAAGTTACTTTGTATTACTCTTAGACCGCGTTTCCATTTGCATGAAAACTCGCGGATGTCTTGCATAAATTTCTTTAAATACTGTTTACATATCGAATGAGTTCTTGCAGTTTCTTTTTGCAATAAATATCTCGAGAGAAGCGCGAATTATTCTATTGCAACTTATCACAGAGGTATTTATACACGAGAGCTATAGATGTTGCGAAGCCAAAGTATTATTTAGTTTAGTTGCAGGTGGAAACGCGGCTTTTTTTGCCATATCCCATGTTAGGTTAGGTTAGTTGTTATCACATAATGAAAGGATTGAAGTGAGTTGGAATAACTTCATCATCATCATCATTACAGCCCTTCACAAGTCCACTGCTGAACATAGGCCTCCCCCAAGTAATGCCACAAAGCACGGCCCTGAGCCACCTGCATCCATCGACTTCCTGCATGTCTTACCAGGTCGTCACTCCATCTAGTGGGGGGTCGCCCTACACTACGCCTACCGGTACGAGGCTGCCACTCGAGAACCTTTCTTCCCCATCGGTTATCGGTTCTTCAAGCTATATGGCCGGCCCATTGCCACTTCAGCTTACTAATCCGTTGGGCTATGTCGATCACTCTGGTTTTACTGCGGATATTCCTCATTTCTGAGTCTATCACGCAGAGAAACTCCGAGCATAGCCCTCTCCATAGCTCGCTGAGCGACCCTGAGCGTCCTCATACGGCCAGCAATGAAGGACCACGTCTCTGATCCGTAAGTCATCACTGGCAACACGCACTGATTGTACACTTTAGTTTTCAGAGATTGAGGTATACCTGACGAGAAGATGTGTCGTAATTTCCCAAACGCTGCCCAGCCGAGTTGAATCCGTCGATTGACCTCTCGGTCGAAGTTGGACTTACCTAGTCGGACTATTTGTCTATTTGGAATAACTTAAACTAATAAATATATATATATATATATATATATATATATATATATATAATATTAATTTTTAATATTTAAAGTAACACCGACTTTTATTTCATTGCGAACATAAACATCGATATGGATCGCGAAATAATGAGCCCATTATATGTGATATTGCTACTGTATTCCATAAAGACAGAGATGCTCATCATAATGGATCATTTTATTACTATTTAAATCGAGTGTACTTCTTGCGAGATAAACGAAACTAGACCGATAAGCAAAACCTGTCGCGAGTCAATGTGGACATGTTTAGACTTGCAATTAATTGCACTCGCAATTGCGACTAGTATAGTGGAGTGCGCTTGCTACGTAGTTTTTTTTTAGGAAAGGGTGACAAACGAGCACACAGTTCACCTTATGGTAAGTAGTTGCTGCAGCCCATAGACATCTACATCTATCCTCGATTACAAATTAAAATGCAGATATACCTTGTCACCCGTGAGGACTAAGATGGAATGCCTCGTTTCCCATTCGTGCTACAACTATACTACTAATATAACTGCAGCATGGCCTACCACGTGTGTAGTTTACATCTACAAGCTACTGTTTGACAAACTGTCGGATACTTTTTGCAGATTTTTTTTTACTGATGGAATCACACCCTTGTAAAAGAAACGTCACTTTAAAAGTTACTTACTAAACCATTAACACGCGGAAAAAAATAAATTGAAATTTGATACTAAGGTTGATCTTGTTACATATGCGATAACAAGCGAAAGTGAAACGGAGTTTCACAACACGTATTATTCTGAAAATAGCTGTAGTTAAGTTCCAAGAAACTGTGGCGATTTCACTCGGATAACGCTAGAATGTATGCACAGTGCTGCAACTTTAATTAAGTCGTGAAAAGGCGAAGTAAACTTAAACAAAGTAGTGTTGATTTTAAGTGAATACTTGCGGACGTTACAAGATTAATGGGCCAAGTATTTTCTTTCTAAAATAACATGGATGTGATGTAATATTTATTTTGAAATAGAATTTGCCTTTACAAGAACTTCAAATGTAAAATTAAAAATTCTTACAATATAGTATCCCTAGTACACGTAACCGTAACACGTAGTAGTTATAGGTAAACAAGACTATTTAAAAAAACTAACTCATGAGATATTTTGCTTGTTACCTTGTTTGCGTTGAGATTGTATTTAATGATGTCTTTGTGAGGTGGCTTAGGCATTAAGCCGAAGCAAGATTGCAGCGTATCCTCGGGCGCACCAATGCCAATATGCGGTGGGAACGCCTGTTGAAGTACTTCATTAATAATTTGGGTCCTGACATTCTATTCTTCTAAATTGTACTTTAATGTATATTAAAAGATTTAAATTAAACGCATAGTACAATCTCTACGATGGATATAAATTAAGTGCACATTTAATTACTGATAAACACCACAATCTTAGTGCTCACAGCATTTCCTACTAGCTTATTTATAAGATAACTAAAATACAAAACAATATTTAAAAACATATTTATTAAAAATACTACAAAGAAATAGTAATATATTCATAAATTTTGTGCCGCTTAACGTTGTGTTTCGAGACAAGCCATATAAGCAGGTCTTAGCTAATTTATCACATCTCTTGTTGAGTAACTTTAGGCTAAGTAAATCCATTGGGCTATTATATTTTTTGTACCTAGATCTCACCTTATTTTATCCTTCATTACATTAATCAGACTCCGACTAAACCAAATAGGATATGTACTACTTTTAGACATATTTCATGGTACAAATTTTTCTATTGTTAAATTTATAATTTTGTAAAAAAACTGAAAAAATACTATTTATGTCATATAGTCCCTGAAATAGCACATCCCAATTGATTTTACTTAAATATTCATAAATTTTGTCATAGTCACCTTTATTAAAACATGTTTTTTGACATGAGAATTGTATTTCAGTTATTGTGTTTCGGATGTAAGTAGTTGTATTTCAACTGGAGGATGTAAAAGCTCTATAATGCTCAGTATATCATTTGGATCATTAACAGTCCAATGTAAACAATTTATTAGAACTAAATCGAGGATCCTCTTCATATTATTTTCAACAAAATTGCGCAGTCTTAAATTACTAATATAACGAAAATCTGTAAGATTTTGAGGCATAAAGGGAGCGGTATAATTGCTATTTAAGTTGTTCACGAGGTTCTAATTAACATTAGGTGGATTAAAATCACAAACTATACAAGTCTTTTCCTTAATTTCAGTTTATCAAACAAAGAATTACAGTTACTAAGATAACATTCCAATAATTTAGACTGAATTCGTGAGGTAATTTTAGACAGCACAAAGGGCAGTCGTAGAATAGTTCTTTCCATCTGTAACATTCTAGAGTAACCCAAAGATTCTCACATTTACTAGCCCACGTTATCATTCTTTTTGAATTTAATCTACTAGATATAGCTATCAACACTCCTCCACCATCCTTATTTGAATGATAGCCGGTAGTTTTCCTGTTCCTTCTATAAACTACATATCTGTCGTCAAATATATCATTACTTAGAATTGTATTATTCAAACATGTTTCAGTCAATATGATGATGTTGAAATAGCACGGTCTACGGTAAAAATTTTGATTTTTTCACTTAATATCCTTTAGCTGCTTATTCAATGTGTCTAATATACTATTACTTATTTTATTGAAAAGGCTCTCCATTTCCTTCCGTATTGCAGTCTGCACTATTTCCTTTATTATCGTTGCTTTTACATGGGGGAGAATATGCTTGTATTTTACTTCCTCTGACAGTAATCTTCCTTATTCCTTATTCTTTATTGGGGTATTATCATTCTTCCCTGATTTCGGAACTTTACTTGTACATAATTGACACTTCCAACCATCAGAAAGGATGTTCTGATTTTCAGATAAGGCTAGATAAGATTTGTGATAATTTTTTTACAGTTAGTACTACACTACATTCCCTTGACAGCTTAGCACTTGAAAGCGGAGTGTTCGGCATTGCGAAATATAAAATATTATACATATAATTTCAAAATGAAATGTAGTTAGTAATGCCCACACAAAAAAGTTTTTATATGAATGGAAACAAACATATTAAACACACTAATTAAAACTGTATTTAGACCATATTTTACTTCGCAAATACGTCCATAATTAGCAAAAGGTGCATATATGTTGTTTAAACTACGACACACATTTAAAATGCACCTGAGCCAATTTCAATCAATTTAAAAAAAAACTGGAGACGAAAAAATTTATCTCACCTTAGCAACTTCTTTCGGCTTCTCGCGAGGTATCTCAATCCTTGATGGCTGATCAATATTTAACATAGTTCTGAAAAATTACACGAATAATTTTGAACGTTAATAAAATTAATTGGTTAGTTTTTTAGAAGCTATTTTCATAAAAGTCCTAAATTTTATTACATATGTTACAGTTAAAACACGTTTTCAGATAGAACGCGTTTTCCCTAGTTAAAATTAGTTTTTACTAAATGCCTTTGTGAAAACTAGAAATACCTAACCATAACTAGAATTTACCACTGATATATTTGATTTTCAGATAAAACTAGTTGTCACTCTGAGCTTTAGTTAAAACTAGCACTAGCGAAACTAATTATTGATTGAAAACAAGATATACTTACAAAATATTTACTTTTTACACAAATATTGAAACACTTACTTCTGCAACAGCTTCGGGACTGCGAGAAGTGCAGCCCCTTCACCCTTGCGTACCAAATCGCACGCATCTGTGCGAAGCCTTCGCGCCTATGGCTATACAAAACACTCTAGGGTAGGTAGAGCAGATAAGACTACGTGAAGTCAGGGCGTTCTGATTCGGTTTAGGTACAGATTCGACCTACCTTATCTATAATAATCGCTCATTCTCAGGTCTAGTAATCAATCCAAATTCCAAAGTAACGCAATCAAATCAAATCCAGAACTAGTTAGTTTAGTTTAGTTTGCGACGGGCTGTTTTCCGCAACTCCACGTCTATGCGCGTATTTTGCGTGTGGGCAGAAATAATGTGATTATTCGAGCCATGAGATCTCCCCGAAGAAGCTCAACAGTCCCTTGATGTTGCATGCAACTTCGGGGGAGTGATCCCGGCGTGCCGAGATGTTTAGCCCTGTACGTAGCGACCTCCGGACATTTCAGTAGCACGTGGGCCGCCGTTTCTTCCTCCCCCATGCATGTCCTGCACAGGGGACTATCTGTAACACCTATAGTAAATAAATGTTTGTTAAAGGTGCAGTGTCCTGTGATAGCACTTGTTACTATCCTGATCTGCGGCTTGTTCAGTCTCATTAAAACTTTGGTTAAGCGACTGTTTATTACAGGTAGGGCCTCCCTAGCTTGTCTACAGTCTACTAGACTTTTCCAAAGCTGAGCGTGTTGATTAGTGAAGTGTCTACGTACCATTGAACGAACGTTACCAAAGGGATTGGTATGATGGAGTGGGACCGATCCTCTTCTGGCCAGTTCGTCCGCTGCATCGTTGCCTCTGGATCCACTGTGTCCCTTTATCCATTGCAGAGTCACATTGTCGTTTTTATATACCTCATTTAATCGTTGATGGCATTCATATATTAGTCTCGAGTTCACCCCATTGCAACTCAGAGCTTGTTTGTACCGCCCTACTGTCGGTCAGTATTCTGATGGGGAAGTCATTAACCTTCCTAGCATCTATTGCTATGGCCGCTTGAATGATACCCATACATTCCGCCTGAAAGACCGTGTTATAGGTACCCAGCGGTGTGCATATGTGAATATTGAAGGTCTTCAGAGAAAGCTCCAGAACCTACACCTTCATTTGTTTTAGAACCATCGGTGAAAACTCTAAGCTCTTTTGGGCTTAATCCTTCCGGCTGGCTGTTTTCATTTAATTGTATCTTGTATTTCTTATCGAAAACAAATTGTTTAGGAATCCTATCGTATTTGGCTTGTAGGATAGGAATTTCTGAGTGATCTATCAATTATGCCTGTATGAGGGACACTATTCTTACTCCAAAGATTTAGGGTCTTGAGTCTGATGGCAGCTAAAGTCGCTTCTTGTTGTATATGTAGATTGTGGGGCGGTTCTTGCAGTGTGCCCAAACATGCCAGTCTCTGGTAGCGCTGAATGAAATCCAGAACTAAAGATTCGATCATTTAAACTCGGTTGGAACAGTTCTAACTGACTCGATTCACAAAAAACGTATTTTGTCTAGTAAGTACTTGTTTTACCTGTTAGTTAATTTTGAGCATTATTTAATTCTAGATATTAGTAATTTTTTATTATTAAGGCATTAAGTAAAAACTAGTTTTAACTAGGAAAAACGCGTAATATCTAAAAACTTGTTTTAACTGTGGCATATATAACGTTTAAATACTGAAACACCATTCTATAAGACCCCTGCTCTTAAAATCAATTTGAAAACAAGCAGATTTTTTTATTATCCTGGATTTTCGTTCTGAACGTTATAAGTTTTTTTTTTTAATGCATTTATTTCCAGTTAATATGTTATTCACTGTGTATAGAGTGGGACTACTTTGAAATTTGTGATACATTTGAATTTATAGGGTTGTTATATTAACTATGAAGGATGTATAACATAGTAACATAGGGATCAGAAAAATCTTTACCAGTTTAATTAATTTATTGGATCTCTTTGGTTCAATATTACCAATATAAATGTTCGCTAGTTTAACATCAAAATTATCAATAAAGTCTTGTTTCCTCAATGTTAAGCAGTTTGCACTCATTTACTGTATAGAATAAATTAAATTTCCAAAACCACACTGTCTAGGTATACAGTAAGTAAAAACATTGTCCGATCTGAAAAAGGACACGTAGGTATTGCCAAAAAGAATTAAAACATCATATCTTTACTGAATATAAAATATTATTGTTGTTTGAAATACATGTTTCGTACCACAATTTGCTTAAAATTCAGCAAATTTGTATCATCTAGCAACACCGTCGTCAGAGATGGTGTCAGAACGTGCCTGTGTTTCCTCAATTAAATTTATTTTACTTTATTTTTACAGGTAATTTTTTTCATATCAGGATATCTAAAAGTACCCTCACGGATCGGTCAAGGTTTTTTTTACATATTGTATCAAACAAAACAGATCTTTCAAAATCATTAAAAGTGTAAATTTTTTTAAATATATCTCTAGAATAGAAAAAACCCAAGAGTTATGAATATTTTCTCATTTTGTTTTAATTTCATCGTAATTTGGCGTATTTTTTTTTCATGTAATTTGTCGTATTTTATAGAAGAGGTTGCCCCCTCTTCTATAAAATACGACCTGACCTGATGGTAAGTGACTACCTCCGCCCATTAAAACTACAACACAAGGGTAATTGCAAGTGCGTTGAGGCCTTTTAAAAAGGAGTAGGCTTATTTTTGAAGGCCCCTGAGTCAGATAGGTACGGAAAAATTGCTAGTGATTCCACAAAAAAAAATCGTGCTAATAAAAAAACTGCTACATCCAGATGGTGTGGATGGTATCGCGAATTTTGTCGCGATGTGCGATGGTGAGATTCTGTGGCTGAAATTAAAACAACCAATTCTTCTATGCAATCTCCGAAGTACCTAATTGCGATAAAAATGCAAAGGGGTACATCTTCTCTTCGCAGCGCCAGTGAATCCGGTCAATTAGAAATAATTCGGTCGTCGATGATTTGGGTCGCTCTTCGCTGGATACGGATATTATTGTGATCATATTCACAGCTATCAAGTTCCACTGCTAAACATACGCCTCCGCAATAGATCACCTCATAAGGGGATATTTGCCATAGTTGCCACGTTTGCCAAGTGGGTTGGAAACCGCAATTATTTTTATTGTAGTCGTTATTAGAAAGACGCTGCTGCCTGTCTTCTGATTTGTGTCCCCCCCCCCACACTCCTCCCAAGATTTACTTAAGCTAAATAAATTGTAGCGCTTGTTAAATTATATTTCTTTGTTCAATATTCTAAATGGCGTGTACTAGTTTAATTTAGTCTATTTTAATTAAGTATTTTAAAAATATTTCTGTTTGTGCAAATTTACTTGTAATATCTTCTAGTGAAATCATCACAGTCGTAGAGTAAGATGCGGCGGCCAAACACGAAGATCGTTTCACCCACGATAAGGTCTCGCGGCGCGTAGTACTCCGTCACCTCATCTTCAGTAGTCTCCAATGCAATGGACGGAAACGATACTGCGCGAATAATATGATTTACTTATTATTATAAGCGATATATTATAAGCGATACATTCACTCGAGCCGTGGTAGCCTAGATGGTTAGCGATGTTAGCTGTAAATTTCACAGTACGCGAGCAAACCGGGATCGATCCCCACCGGCACCAATGAAATTGTTAATTGCAATTTTAAGTGCTGTTTTACCACGTGCTCGGTGGTGAAGGAAAACATCGTGAGGAAACCTGCATGTCAGAGAAAAAAAAAGAAAAAAAATTTCGAAGACATGTGAAGTTCGCCAACACGCATCGGGGCAGCGTGGCGGACACTTCCTTGCCCTAATACCTTATCTCAGAAATGAGAGGAGGCCTGTGCCCAGGAGTGGGACGTATACAGGCTGTAACTTTACTTTTTTTACATTCACTCACATATTAATAAAAAATAAATATAATGTCCTCCTGGCCGAATTTCGGCCACGGCGGCCTACCTCAACGGAGGCTAGCCGTCGACGCAGGACAGGATTATAGTGCCCAAGTGTATGTGTGCAAGCAAGGTGCACTCTTTATTCTCTCACTCTCATAATCCGATGGGACGGTAAACCGACACGACCGGAGAGAGATCAGGCGCAGGACCAACGGCTTTACGTGCTTTCCGAGGCACGGGGGTGAGACACCGTCAACTTCCTGACTCCGAGCAGCTACTGAGAATTTCTTGACAGAAAAACTCAATAATTGATTTTTTGGCCCGACCCAGGATTCACATATAATAATATAAGAAATCACGCGTCGTGCGTCTTATTTTTCACTCATCTGAAACAGGATTCACAAAATTCTTCCTTTGCTTTAGCTATCCTTACTAGATGGAGCGACGACCTGGTCATAGATGCACGGAGTCGATAGATGAAGGTGGTATGGTAGGCATGGTCCTGGCTTGTGGCATTCCTTGGGGCTCATTCTTTTTCTGCCATAGAGGTAAGACAAGTATAGAGGAGAATTGTATGTATTTAAGCTTTCAAATTATAGGGTAATTGTGTGTTAATTGTAGATAATGAGGTTAAGGGTAAATTATTGAAATTACATTATTTTTGTAAAGTACCTTCTTTCTGTAACGTGAGGTGTCGTGGATGTTGTAAAAGGCTACACAGACAGACAGTCGTATCGTGGGACAAGCTTAACGTCTGTTTTTTTATCTTTGAAGACAGGTTTCTTCTATTAAGAGGATAGCTTGAAAATGAATCGTAGTTTTGGGGGTGTGGCTTATTCTTTTGTCGGTGAAGTTCACGGACGACTGAGGGAGTGTCAAAATGAAAGTGATGCAATGACTTCATAATACGCAAATTATGATATAGCTATACTGAGCACACGCTCGTAAAAAAATTAAGTAAGCGCCAAACAACATTTTTATTTTTCTTAACAAAACTTCGTTATGTATTAAAAAATGGTTTATGAGAACTTATATGTGAATATTTACTATCCCTTAAAAATAATTCCATGAACTTATTCGTAAAAATATTGTGTCGACATAGAGAAATGTAACTAGTTAGAGCCTACTTTGCAATATTTTTCTAAAGAGAAAATTACATGATATCGTGTTTTCCTTTTAAGCAATCTAAGACCATATTGTCAAAAATGATATACAAAAATTTTGGTTTGTAATCTATAAAACTTAAAAAAATATGTGAAATAGAAAAACCACGACGTTTTCCAGGTCTCACTTTAACATAATTAAATATAGGGTATGTTAAGTTATGATGAAAGTTTATTTTGACTATTATATTGATTGACTGAATATAACAAATTTACTTTTTGATGACCTCTATACCTAAAATATACTATAAATAACAATCACAATAAAAAATAAATGTCCAACTCGAAAATAATATTGCTAAATTAATCATAACAGCATGATTTTTATTGTTACTGCCTCACTTTTTATATAGAACTAGCTTGCCAGGCAGACGTTGTTCTACCCTTTTCGACGACCCTTTGTCATGTCCTATTAAAAATCCTTACATACGCAAAAAAAAAATTGTGGGTCATTCATGGGTAAAAAAACTATCCAATCTCTTAATCTGGACCAAACTGCACACGGTGCGCAAATTTGATTAAAATCGGTTAAGTAGTTTAGGAGTTCATTGCGGACAAACAACGTGACACGTAATTTATATATATATATATATATATATATATATATATATATATATATATATATATATATATATTTTATATTTAGATAAGGACAATAAACGAGCTCACAGATCTTTACAAATATACTAGTTATTTGAAACGTAAAGCTATAAACTTTACGTTTCAAATAACTAGTGTACCTATTTGTTACGACACCCTTGGGACAATATACGAGTAGGTCAGTGGATATTCTGACATCGCCGCTACGCGGTGCGGTTATTTTATATATTATATTATGTACATTAAATTTTATACATTTTATTTCGCATTGCTTTTGGTTTATTTTTGTTACGTTCACAAAAACTCAGCGACCACTAACGCTTTTCCTGGCTGTCAGCCAACTTCAAAATTATTCAACATCTCTGAGCGCACAAGCATCACAAGTGTCATTTCGCTTTGAATTACTGACGAGGTCTTCTTTCTATTTTTAAGTATTCCAATTGAAAAGTACTCGCATTTTGTGGGAACATAATTAAAATTATATTTAGAATAAATTTCTGCATTCTATATTTAAAAAAAAGTTACTATGACATGTTTATATACATCAATTGCACTTGAAAAATCATCTTCAAGTGCAATTGTCAAACAAATGTCTGTCATACGAATACTGGTTTCATACGGGACTCGAACCCGCGGCGCGCAGCATCGTAGACTTTATATTGAAAAATGATTTACATAGAAATTGAAGATTTAATTTCACATAAAAAGACCATATCACTTTATCCTTATAATTTTCTTGTAAAACACCGATAAAGTAAAAAACAAAAAAATTTTCGGCACAGAATAATTTTTTGCATCCATTTTTATTTTAATGTAAAATTACAAACCAATAAGTTTTGAAACAGGTGTTATATATTACCCTTTAAGATATTTCTATCTTCTTATGAGATAATCAGTAAAACCATTTAATTGATCAGATTCTCGATTTCACAAAAAAAATCTTGCAAGTTTTTCAGTTAAAACTTAGCATTATTATCTATCTGTTTATGAAATTTATTGACAATCCGCGGCATTCTGAATACTAACCTTGTACAACCTTGACAGACAGACAGACAATTACATAGACAAAAATTAAGAAAGTCTAGTTATTTATGTCTTATTTTCCTAAGCGTTATAAAAACCAGTTATTTCACTTTCCCAGAGACTTTCATCAGATTTTTATGAATAGATAATTACCTATCATGGAAATAAAAATAATTATATATAATATAAAATAAATCTACTTTATAGATCTGTAATACTCTGATATCAAGGATTAACCTTCATACCAGTCTAAGTACTTTTGAAATAGAAAGGCAAATAATAGTTCTTTGTAATGTTATAAAAATTTAAATAGTGTGTTGTAAATATTTAGTATCTTATTTAATTTAAAACTGAAAACTAAGCAAGTGATAAGACAGAATATAAAGTAGCAAAATCGAATAATAAAATGCAGTAATTTATAACAATTGTGTCGACTACCAAAATGAGTTCACTACTTACCAGGTTTCTCCTTCCATTTTTTCGGCAGTTTAGTTTTCTTCAACAGCATTGGAAACGGTTCTTTCCCACCTCTACCGTCATGAAGCTCCTGCATCAAAATATATCACAAGTAATTTAATATATCCATCACAACAATATGTTTTAAAAGCGCTTTTGAAATTGAAGCGCGCTCCAATCTCAGATAATGTTCAACGTTAAATATTCATAGCATGGAAATTTCACCGTTTTAGCGCTTTGCTAAATTACGGCATACATTTAATTTTTCATTAAATGTTCAATGTTCAAGTTTTATTTCATTTGGAAGGTTAATAATTTTATAGTCTTATGGTTATTTTTCACATTACAGGCTGCGAGGCATTTCATCTAAAATCTTAGGCCTCAGTCATCTGTAGCCTTCTTTTTATTAAGTTATTTCCAAGTATCCATGGCCTCCAAGACTCATTTACTATCAAATGGACTATTAGTTTGCTTGTGACTTCCATTTTTTTTAACGAAGTATATTTAAGATTAAAAAGAATTACCTTTATGGCGATGGTATCATCTTGAAGAAAATATAGTAGCTTGTATTCGCCAAGTTCACCATTTACTGAATCACGATCATCCCACACCGCGTTAAAGCTGCAAGGAAAGAACAAATAATTTACTGGCAATGATGATGATGTTTATAAATAATATATCTTCATTTTTATACATCATCATCATCTCATTATCATTATCGCCATCATTTCAACTCATCAGTTCCTACATCTCTTATCGTCCGTTACTCAATCTATTGGCAGCCGCCCCACACTGCATCGCATCTTTCTTGTTAGTATAGGTATTTAAAATGAATTCAATTTGCATTATTTATCTAAATTATTTTATTTTAATACTACATACATTAGCTGATGATAGTAAATGTTTGAAAATGCTAAACTATTTGTAATATATTTTTTGATCAATTCTCGAAAACTTTCAACGTTCGATTTGAATTTTTCTTATTTATTCCAGAGAGAAGTAATAACAAAATTACAACGAAATGGAAAAACCAGAACGAGTCCCATGAGCAAAGTTCGAGAGGATTTGTGCCTTTGATTTATTATCAAGCTCGTCTGTTATGAATCAGTTTATCACGGCCAAAGAGGAGGAAAATCACTTAGACAAATGATTCTTACATAAACTTTATGCAGAGGTCATAAAATAGGCAATATTTTCATCGAGGATTTTATAAAAAAAAAAAAGAAAATTACTTTGAAATCCATGTTGCTTAGAACTGAAAAAAAATCTTGCTACATTTTTAAACATTAACAAAACGTTATAATTGCACTTGGGTTTTCTTCTGTATAGTGGAGTCATTTTAGATACATAAATTTCACATGAGCAAACATCCAGAATCCCAACTCGCCACAGTTATTTTTAGGCCAAACAAATATTTTGTGGCGGCACGGCACTGTCTTTGCGTCCCAAGCGAAACACACCGAAACTACGTAGTACTATCAAGTACTATTATTTATTCTATGCCGAAACCTAATCAAAGTTCAGATGTACTGCACTATATATAGAACAGCTCTGTACTAACAGATGCGCCCTCCTTTCTGCCAAGGAGGGTCGCGTCCGTTTACGGCTTAAAGATCCCTGGTCATATCAGTAAGAATGCAACTGCAGAATGCAACTGCGGTTTCAGCGTGAGTGGCACCACAATCCGGACAAGATAATGGTCCTCGGAGCCTAAAGGGGCGTCAACGGAAATCTGATATCCGTCCGGGTGAAAGGTCAGCAGAAGGTCCAACATGAAAGGTGCATGATCCTCCACATCTGGAATCAGCATAGGCGAAGTAACCAGTTGTGTCAGACCATATGCCAAGGCAAAATCATGAACAGATCTCCCCGCATGATCGGTTAAACGTGAACCAAGCCATTCGGCGTGATGGGCGTTAAAGTCGCCGAGGATCACGATCTCTGCGGAGGGGATCTGCTGTAGAAGCGAATCTGTAGCCATTTGGACGTGGTCGAAGAGTCGATCTGTTTCGGCATTACCGCTACGCCGTCTACGGGTGCTTCTATAGATCCCTATAGAGGCACCCGTAGACGCGTGGATGGTCGTCGCTGTCTACGCGTAGCCAAAGGATGGACAGGTCCGAACCTTCAAGACTGCCGAGGCGTCGAGAAAAGATGGCCTCTCTAACGTAAACGCAAACTCCAGCCCGAGGCATAAAGGAGTGTTCCAGTTTGTAACCCGGGTAGGAGAGATACGAGACATCAGCCGGAGAGGACACCTGCGTCTCGGTCAGAAAGAGCAGAGCCGGCCTCGCCTTCTCGAGATGGTAGTGGACGGCGTTTATGTTAGAGAAGTCCCTTGATATTGCAGAAATTCACGGATAGCGTGGCAGGGGTCGCCTTGGTCTTGTTGTTCCGTTTGCCCCGAACAGTTGTTGTCTTGAACGGAATTTCCCTCCACCCCAGAATACGCGGGGCAGCCTGAGCACCCACGCTCAGGAGTGGAGAAACATGGTAATGGATGCTCAGCGAGGGATTCTCCAGGGGTGCTGGTACCTTCCTGGGGTAGTTTATCATCATTTAATTTCGCTACGATGTTGATGGGGGGAGGGATTTGGGCCTCCGGCCACCTGCACTCACCAGACGAAACGCGGCAGCAGAGCTTAAACTTCACGCCGGTATTCTGTGAGGTCGTGGTACCAACCCGGTTTGAGACGGCCCATAGTGCGAGCAGTATTAAAGTTGCATTGAGATCTGTCTGTTCAGTTGCCTGTATGCTGTCATGCTGTCATCTCCCGTCTAACAGCCAAGATATTAAGAGTGTGATCGGAGAGTTTTTGTGTTCTTCTGCGGCGAGTCTTGCAAAACTTAGCTCCGACCGCATGGACAGTTTCCACGAGCTTGTCATTCATATCGTCCACTGCATTGCAATCTTCTAGACACTGAAAGCGGTTACGTAACTCGAGCTGAAATGTTTCGGGAGTCTGGATTAGAGCATGAGGGGACGGAGCGTTTACTTCATTAGACGAGACCTCTCCAACTTAACTTTTAGGTTCAGTGTGCCTCTAACCATTCGGTGATCGCTGCCAGTTTTTACCCTTGCGATCACTGAGACATCACTGAACAATTGGCGTCTGGTCGTCATAATGAAGTCAATCTCATTTTATGTCGAACCATCGGGGCTCCACTTCCTGTGAGGCCGCTTCTGGAAGAAAGAGTTCATCTTAAAAAGTCCCTCTTTCTCCATAAAGTCGGCCAGCTGCTGACCCCTACGGTTTCGTTGCCCTACTCCAAATTTAACTAACTTAAGCTCACTGCTTTCTCTTGTGCCTAGTTTTGCGTTGAAGTCTCCCATCAACACCGTGTAGTGGGTTTTGGAATCTCATTTCAACTTTCTCAATTTTTCTCAATTCTCATTTCAACCATCGACAGTGATTTCGCTTTCGCGGGCACCTCAGCTGTCGATACTGCGGACGGTGTGTTACGCGGGCGACCATACGGAGGTGTGGCCCTTCTCTGGAGAAAAGCTGTGTTTCCTTATGTAACCGTAGTGAAGTGTAGAAGTGTCAGGCTTGCGGCGATTAAAATCGAGCTAAGTGATCGTTGTTTTATAGTCTTTTCAGTGTATATGCCGATAGATAAAAAAGAAAATCTAGTGGAATTCACAAAGTGTCATAGTGACATGGCGGCTATTATTGCAAGTCATAATGTGGAAACTGTGTTTATGTTAGGGGACCGCAACGCGCACCCTGGTGAGACTTTTGACACAGAACTATTGTCATTTTGCTCTGAACAATTATGGACGTGTGTAGACAGAGACTTGTTGCCATCGGATACCTATACTTTTGTGAGCGAAGCGCATGGTAGTTTAAGGTGGCTGGACCATGTTGTGGTCACGACCGCGGCGAGGCCTACTGTACTTTCTGCATGTGTTCTTTACGACAGGTACTGGTCCGATCACTTTCCTGTATTGATGGAGCGTAATTTCAATATTGTAACACCAAAATTAGCTCAGTCAAATAATTGTATTAATAAAATCATATGGGGAGAGCGTGATAATGATCAAATTGGCTAATATTACAATGAATGTAACTCCAGGTTAAAATTAATAGATTTTCCAGTATGTGTAGTAACCATCAACACAAAATAGCGCTTGACAGATTGTAGGAACATATTGTGTATATACTTTCGGAGGCCGCTATCTGTAGTTATAGTATTAGGACGGGGCGAAAAGGTAAATACTTACCTGGTTGGAACAAACACGTTCGCGAGGCATATGGGAGGGCTCGACGTTGTTTTCAAAGTTGATCACTACATGGCAGACCCGCTCTGGTCACGCATATAATGAAATGTGTGAATCGAGACGCATTTTTAAAGCTAAATTAAAATGGTGTCAAAATAATCAGACACAAATAAAAATGGACATAATAGCTGAACACCACAAAAGAAAGAACTACGGTCAGTTTTGGAAAGCCACCAATAAAATGAATCATAAGTTGAGCCTTCCCGTGAGTGTTTCGGGAGCTTGTGATCCTAGTGATATTGCTAAGGTGTTCAGAGAATACTTTAGAGTGGAATCACCACTGGGACCGGCAGAGCCGCTGGTGTCTAATGCTGAGGCAGGTAGTCTGAAGCGTAGTGTATTTTTTACCGCCAAAGATGTAGCTAAAGTCATTAAGGGCATGGTGAGAGGCAAGTCGCCTGGGCATGACCACCTCAGCATTGAACACCTGCGGCATGCTGGAGTTCATTTTCCAAGGGTTTTGTCCTTGTTGTTTAATTTGTGTATTGGGCATTCATATCTCCCTGACAAATTGATGCGAACTATTCGGTTTTAGACCAGGTCTTTCTACCGAGAGTGCTATCTTGTGTCTCAAGCAGACTGTCCAGTATTACACAGCAAGGAAGACACCTGTGTTTGTTTGCTACCTGGACCTATCAAAGGCGTTTGACTTAGTAGCTTACCAACGCATGTGGGATAAGATGAGATCTGAGACTAGCCTGCCCGAAGAAGTTGTATTGCTCTTTCAGCACTGGTATAGCAACCAAAAGAACAATGTCAGATGGGCTGGCTCGCTCTCAGAAGAATACAGATTAGAATGCGGCGTGAGGCAAGGTGGTTTAAGCTCTCCTATGCTCTTTCACTTATATATGAATAAGCTCCTTGATGAGCTCAGCAGTACCGGTATCGGTTGCCACATAGACGGAGTTTGTATTAATAACATAAGTTATGCAGATGATGTGGTGCTGCTGAGTCCATCAAGTGCAGCCTTAAAGAAAATGTTAACTATATGCGAATCTTATGCTGTGGCCCAGGGGCTCAAATATAATGCTGTTAAGAGCGAATTCATGATGTTCAATCCGGACCACAAGTGATATACTAATGTGCCACTTTTTAAGCTTTGTGGAACCCCTTTGAAAAAAGTTGAGACCTTTAAGTACCTGGGCCACTGGATCACAAATGACCTGAAAGACAACCATATTTGATACCTATTTGAACGGATATTGAGAGGGAGCGGAGGTCGCTGTCTGTCCGCTGTAATAGGTTGGCCCGTAGATTTGCTAAATGTACTGACGAAGCAAAGATTACGCTTTTCAAGGCTTACTGTCAGTCATTTTATACGTGCAGTCTGTGGGTTAACTTTACGCAGAGGGCATACAGTGATCTTCGCGTACAATACAATAACGCGTTCCGGGTATTGATGGGGCTGCCACGTTTCTGTAGCGCTTCTTCTTCTGCTATGTTTACAGAGGCTAACGTAGATGGTTTCACCGCCATAATGCGTAAACGTTGCGCTTCACACCTTAGGCGCATTCACGACAGCCCCAACAGTATCTTGTGTGTTTTGGCAGACCGTTGGGACTCGCCGATGCTTGCTCGATGGATACGGTTGCACGCAGTCAAGTAGTCATCTTGCGGGCGGGGCCGGGTGCCATATTTGTTTGTGTGGTTTTTCTGTTTGTCCTTGTTTTATGTTATATGTGTTATGTTTCAATTGTCAATTACTAACATTAGTTATAAGCTCTAAAAATTGTTACTAACCTATAATATGGATCATGATGTCCGAAATAAACGTTTATTATTATTATTATTATTTGGGGTATCTATATAGTTTTCTCATCTGGTTGGGTTATATAAATATATAATTATAAATTAAAATGAAACGATAAATATACATAAATATCAATAAAATAAAATAAATACAAAAATACATAAATAAATAAAAGCCCAACCAGATGGAAGCCCTCGGCAGGGGGAGACCAAACGACCGAGGGTTAGGAGGAAAGGGAAAGAAACCGGCGGACGATGCGGGCGGTATCGAGAAGCACCGCCTTTTGCATTTGAGCCCGGAGCGGTCCGTCACGGAGTCCCAGTCGCCTCAGATGACCCGAGAGGCTGACTGAGATTAGCCCATTCGCAGAGACGACTACAGGAATAATTTCGGCCGGCAGACCACCCCACATATCGGTCACCTCGTGAGCCAGGTCCAGATATTTTGTTCGTTTATCTGTTTCGGCTTTCACGAGGTTCTCGTCATACGGAATGGTAATGTCGACCAAAAATATCCTTGACTGTGCCCGGTCCATCAGCACAATATCAGGCTTATTCGCAAGAATAGTCCTGTCTGTGATGATGGCCCGGTCCCAGTAGAGCCTAGCGCGGTCATTTTCGAGCACGGCTTTCGGTAAGTACTTGTAATACGGCAATTTCCGATCCACGAGACCGTATTTCAGAGCGAGCTCCTGGTGTAGAATTCTGGCTACTAGGTTGTGCCTGTGCAAGTACTCAGAGTTAGAAAGCGCCGAACAACCGGAGATGACATGCCTAAGTGACTCACCGGGATGGCGACAAGCTCGACAGACGTCGATGGTGCCATCCTTTAGGATATATCTCCGATAGTTGTTGGTCTTTTATTTATTATTATTATTATTTGGAGGAATGCATGGCTCTGGAAATATCCTCATACATTTCCTCCACCTCCTTCGGGATGTGTCGAGGTTGGTGCGTAAACCTGAATGACCTTCAGCGAATACCGTTTGGTGATTCTGAGTATCGCACTCGTCGACACACTCCCAACCTTTACAACGTTGTTGACGAGAGACTTGTGGACGTGAGCCTCCGCAAACATAGCAGAAGGTTCCACAGAGCTTAAAAAGTGGCACATTAGTGTATCGCTTGTGGTCCGGATTGAACATCATGAATTCGCTCTTAACAGCATTATATTTGAGCCCCCGGGCCACAGCATAAGATTCGCATATAGTTAACATTTTCTTTAAGGCTGCACTTGATGGACTCAGCAGCACCATATCATCTGCATAACTTATGTTATTAATACAAACTCCGTCTATGTGGCAACCGATACCGGTACTGCTGAGCTCATCAAGGAGCCTTATTCATATATAAGTTAAAGAGCATAGGAGAGCTTAAACCACCTTGCCTCACGCCGCATTCTAATCTGTATTCTTCTGAGAGCGAGCCAGCCCATCTGACATTGTTCTTTTGGTTGCTATACCAGTGCTGAAAGAGCAATACAACTTCTTCGGGCAGGCTAGTCTCAGATCTCATCTTATCCCACATGCGTTGGTAAGCTACTAAGTCAAACGCCTTTGATAGGTCCAGGTAGCAAACAAACACAGGTGTCTTCCTTGCTGTGTAATACTGGACAGTCTGCTTGAGACACAAGATAGCACTCTCGGTAGAAAGACCTGGTCTAAAACCGAATTGAGCATCATTGAGCGTGATGTGCTTATTCAGGAACCCGTTAAGCAAACTGTCCAGTACCTTAGCGATCACAGAAGCAAGGGAGATGGGCCTATAGTTGGACACATCAGAGGCGTCACCAGTCCTGTTTTTTGGAATAGGAATAACAATAGTTCGCATCAATTTGTCAGGGAGATATGAATGCCCAATACACAAATTAAACAACAAGGACAAAACCCTTCGCAAATGAACTCCAGCATGCCGCAGGTGTTCAATGCTGAGGTGGTCATGCCCAGGCGACTTGCCTCTCACCATGCCCTTAATGACTTTAGCTACATCTTTGGCGGTAAAAAATACACTACGCTTCAGACTACCTGCCTCAGCATTAGACACCAGCGGCTCTGCCGGTCCCAGTGGTGATTCCACTCTAAAGTATTCTCTGAACACCTTAGCAATATCACTAGGATCACAAGCTCCCGAAACACTCACGGGAAGGCTCAACTTATCATTCATTTTATTGGTGGCTTTCCAAAACTGACCGAAGTTCTTTCTTTTGTGGTGTTCATCTATTATGTCCATTTTTATTTGTGTCTGATTATTTTGACACCATTTTAATTTAGCTTTAAAAATGCGTCTCAATTCACACATTTCATTCACAGAGACTTGTGGACGATAAATCCGACACATTCCTTGGGACAGGTGGTCGCCCTCCCGGTGATAGAACAAGTTGTGTTAAATATATATATATATATAATCTACTATATATCCGAGTTGTCCCTGTCACCTAGCGACACTGTTATAAATTTTAATGTATCCATGTGTGTGAAATGTTTAGTTTACTGTTTAAATGTTATAAGAGTAGCTAAGTATGTAAAAATGCTTAAAAACTATAGATTTTTTTTCATTTGGGCATTATAATTATGAATTGAAATTATCTTTTAAAAAAACAGCCGCAGAGGGTAAAACTAAAACGTCTATTATCAACGTAGCTTACCAGAGTTTTTTTGCTGGGCAAGAGATTCGATGTATTTAACTAAAAAGCACAGTGTGGTTGAGGCAAAGAGAATCCCTCACCCCATTTTGAAAACTTAGAACGACTCAGATTCAAAAGTTTCAGAAAGATTTTATAGATTCTATTTGATAGCGGTGTATTGTTATTAAAAAATATTATTATTAAATTATTATGACAAGAAATAGTGTCAAAAGTGTATATATATATATATCTTCAAATCATGAGCCGTGCTATATTACTGGTATAGTTATAGCACGAATGGGTCGGCTCGACCGGGAAAGGGCCACGCTCTCACAGAATATCAACGTAAAATAGCAGTTTAACGCTGTTGTGTTTCGTATGGTGAGTGAAGAGAACCGGAGACCCTTTTTACTGGAAACGAGGTGTTCCATCTTAGTCCTCACGGTTGACAACGCATCTGCATCTTGATTCGTAATCGAGGATAGATTTAAATGTCTATGGGCCGCAGTAACCATTTACCATCAGGTGGACTGTGTGCTCGTTTGTCAACCTATCCTATAAAAAAACATCTTTGTAACAAACCCACGTCCAGCAGTCTACTTCTACGAGCTGATGAGGACGAAAATATAAATTTTCGATTTTCTCACTACGCTTATAAATTAAGTTAAACAAGAGTTCAACATTAAATTGTAAATTAATGTTTAGTAAATTGTGTTTAATCCCCGGAATTAAAAAATAGACCTGCGTTTTTCAATACTGTTAACAAAGTCCATTTCACTGTTCAGCTTAAATAACCTTCAAAAATAAGGAGAGCCTATTTAAAAACAAAAATTAACTATTATCATAATATTCGTTTTAATCAGGTATAATAAATTTCGTTGGTTCTTTGTCTGCTAATTCGATCTAACGCCGCAGTTATCTAACAAATTTCCTCTGATTTGGGCGACAACCATTATCCATTCAGAAAAGGTTGTGGAAAGCACTTTTATGGAAACCTTGACTTTTTTCTTCTTTAGTTAAATCTTAAATTTAGTTAAAGTTAAAGTTACGGCATATTCACGTCCTACTGCTGGGCACAGCCTCTCTGATCAAAGAGTTTTAGGCCAAGAAAATTTCCGCCACGCTGCCTCAATGCGTGTTGGCGAACTTCACATGCCTTAGAAATATTTTTTCTTATTTCTCGGACATGCAGCTTTCCTTACGATGTTTTACTTTACCGCGGAGTGCGTGGTAAATAAGCGCTTATAATTGCAATTATCAATTTCGTAGGTGCCAGTAAGGATTGAACTCGGGTCGCGTACTGTGAAATTTACAGCGAGCGTTTCGCCCTTGAGCTATCACGACTCTTAGATTAAATTTAAAAATAAATATATTTTCAAATCAGACTTACGCAAGAACTTTTCCGTCGTATTCTAGAAAACGTCGAAGAGCGTCGTCGTAAGATTTCAACCTCTTCGGCGGCTGCACGGATTTCCATCGTTCTTTTTCTGTGTATGGATCTATCGGCAATTCCTCTTCCTTCGACAATTCTATTCCTTGAGACTCCAACCATTCCTACAGAATATAAAGTACTTCATAAAGTCAGTTTATAACCCATTTAATTTTATTATCATATTTTGAAAATAAAACTTTTTAGCCCCTTTCTTATTACTTTCTTATTACCTACGCATATCACTAGCTGCGTGTATAACTTTTTGTGCTGTGCACCGAAGAATATAGTCTATGTTATGAGACTTTCTTTTCTGTTACACCACAACCTATTTTTGCTACCAATCAGCACTGCATCTTCTGTTGTGTTCCGGTTTTAAGGGTAAGGGAGTCAGTATACTTAGATTATATAGGAACCTAGTGAAACCTTCTGATTTGAAATTTAGATTTTTTTAAATTCGTTGCAGATGTAATAAACCGGCTGAAGTAGCCACTTATCGTAACCGTTTTTTTTTTTACTTTACAACAAGAACTTTTACACTTAACTTTTTATTCAATATGAAGGGAATGATGGCGCCCATAGCTGTTTATATTATTATTTCGTGTTTGGTATCCATCAGTTTGTATTGATTTGTTTTTACACACGCAAACCACATACCAATGGCATATTATGTTCTCGAAGACTGCCTTGTTGGTCTAGTGGTTGTAGTATAGGTAGGTGTAGTGCAACTGCTGATCATGATATCCTGGGTTCGAATCCCGGGTTGGGCCAAAAAATTAATTATTGAGTTATTCCGTCAAGAAATTCTCAGTAGTTTCCCGGAGTCAGGAAGTTGACGGTGTCTCACCCCGTGCCTCGGAAAGCACGTAAAGCCGTTGGTCCTGTCCTGATCTCTATCTTCTGTCGTGTCGGTTTACCATTCCATCACATTATGAGAGTGAGGGAATAGAGAGTGCACCTGTGCTTGCGCATACACTTGAGCACTATAATCCTGTCCTGCTCCGATGGATAGCCTCCGTTGAGGCAGGCCGCCGTGGCCGGAATTCGGTCTAGAGGACAATATTATTACTATGTTCTCGAAGAAACACTTCGAAAATCGAATAATCGTAGGTCATATCATAAGTTTTCAAGTTTCTTTTAGTTATATGATAATAATTTACCATATATCGGAACTTGCTGTTCATAAAACTTTATCCTATATTTTATAGAATAAGGGTTACAAACAAACACACTATCTGCATGTTAAGTGGATACTGTGGCACTCAGACACCTACAAGGGTGCGCTTTTAAGTTCGCGGAATGGGGGTAAGGAGTGGAAATAAAAATCAAAATTTATTTTTCCTTTTCAATATATTCACCTGTACCGTAGTAGATTTTTCGGATCTTTCAATTAACTTACATATACCCTCAAGAAAAATGATTAGTTTTTGTCTAAAAAATATGCCGAAACTTCTTCCTTCGCTTTTTCATCACTTATAAACTTTTTCCCACGAAGTTCTTTTTTTTTTAAGTTTGGAAATAGATAATAATCACTGGGAGTCAGGTCAGGACTATACACCCACCCTGGGTGTAGCAAAATTTCGAAGCTCACTGGCTCGATGGCATTTGTGAAAAGGCGCGTTGTCGTGCAGAAGAAGAATTCCTTTGGTCAATTTTCCCCTTCTTTTCTTCTTTATGGCTTCCTTCAATTATTCTAGGATTGAAACGTAGTAATTTCCGGTTATGGAGACACCTTTATCTTTATAGACTGTCGCCATGATTTTCCCAGCCGCCTGTGCCACCTTAAATTTTTTGGGTGGTGGTATGCCTTTTTTGTGCCACTGCATAGAGTCCTGTTTGGACTCAGGTTCATAATGGTAAACTTAAGTTTGTCATCAGTAACAATTCGAGCCAATATTCCATTTTTGTCTTTCATACAGAGGTCTAAAAATGCACGAGAACACTCCACGTGCTGTTGCTTTTGAGGCAGCGTGAGCATTCTAGGAACCCATCTTGCGCTGACTTTAGTCATGCCAAGATGGTTATGAAGAATTTTGAAAATGGTTGTATCTGATACCCCAACCATTTTTGTAAGCTGTTTTATAGGAGAATTTTTCGACTTTATGAATAAGTTCCGAAGTGGTCACCTCGATCGGCCTTCCTGGCCATGGGTCGTCTTTAAGTGACTCTCTGCCATGTTTAAAAAGGGTATGCCACTTCAATTACAGTTTTACTTGGACAAGAGTTTCCGTAAACGGATGACATCTCTTCCAGTATAGTCTGAACTGATTTTCCGCGCTTTGTAAGGAACTTTATAAACCGCACGGAGCTCAATTTTTTCCATATTTCACAATTTCTTCCCGATCGACTTGTTTGGTTGACGATAACTCAAAGACTAATGATCTAATTACAATAAAACCCGGTATTTATACTCGTACTAATAATGAATTGCTCAATTAGCACGTAATTCAGCGACGTCCCCACTTATTACCTACCTACCCATTTCGCGATCTTAAAAACGAACCCTCGTATATCGATAGTGGTGATAAACAAGTATAGAGCGAACTGTCCGTCATCAAGAAATATGACTATCATCCATTTGCCATCAGACACTCTATCCGCGATTAGAAATCAGATTGCAAATGCGCTTCACCCCTTAGGACGATTCCATAAATAGGGTCTCCGGTTTTTACACTAACCATAATAATGTCATTAAGATTGCTTTTTTAACGCGTTATTCTGTGAGAGCGTGGCCCTGTCGAGCCAACCTATTCATGTTACAATCATAATATAACTGCACTGTGCACTGCAGCGCGGCTCTACCACGTATATATGTTTTTATGAACATACATTACAAAGCTAATATACGTTGTTTGACTTCTTCAAAATTCTTCCGCAATCAAGCGGTCTTATTTGTGCTGTAACTAGGTATAATACAAGTATATCTGCATTGTGGCTTTATCACATTACAAACACTACACGTTATAAATATATCAGTACTAAAAATAAAATTTCTCTCCTACGATGTACATGATTGAAAAACCGTCTCAATAGAGTTGTTTCTAATCTAATATCAATAAAGAATGAATATAAATTGTGGGATGTCCTCGAAAAATCTTGGTAAACCGGACAAAAAGGGGTCCGGAATCTTCTAAAAATAACTAGAACTCCTTTTTTCTATTTATTTACATTTTGTTATAATTATCTAATTTATTCTATTTATTAGCTTTTTTGTGCCTTATATATTTATTACTTATTTATTAAACTTATGAATTGATCGTTAACCTACCACGGTTTTTCAAATCAACCAGGGTTGACTGGTAGAGAATGCTAAAAGGCATTGTGTCCGCTCTTTATATCCCTTATTATAAGGTGTGTAACAAAAAATAAACAAAACTAACTACATTTCCATTTCAAAATGTATTATATATTATAGAAGTGGTTAAAGTGCAACAATGAACAGAATTGTTGAAAAAAATTATAATTCCTAAGATAAAAAATAAAAATCATACAAATCAATAATCCTTTTTTTATTATTTAAACAATCATAAAAAAGTTAGTCCTTTAAAATTAATAATAAACAGTTTAAAGATCTTAAAATTAAACTAATAATAAACATTTAAAAATCCTAAGAAGAATCAGTCTTCTGTAATAATTTACTGCACAATCAATGCTTTCTTAGCTTTCCTTGTCCTCTGCCTAGAAATACTCTGCCTTGAAGGTGGTGGATGTGGAAGGATTTTCATTAATTTTTGGGTACCAATTTTCCTTTTCTCGGGGCATTATAACTTCCCACTCTCTAAAATGTTGCTCTTTATATACGTCATAGATCTCCTACGGCCTTTCACAATTTTTGCAATCTTGTCAAAATCCGACCCAGCTGGAATTCTGTATGAGCAAACTAGCTCAGTGCTATTCTTTAATGGCACCTGCTTAGACAGTTTTGCCCATTGCTAACTTAATATGGCATCATAATACTTTATTTGATAAATAAGCCTACATTTTATGGCAATCACAGTGATTTATTTAGGCAGAAATAGCGCATTAATTTGCTCGCTAAGATTTGGTGATCATTTACTACATTTGGTGTTCGAATACAATTTGAAGTGTAGTTGTGACTAAAATAGCTAGTATAATTGTAGTTTTAGGCTTTATTTTTCTGGTGTCAAGTATATATTTTTAGGTAAAAGAACTACGGATATCAAACCATTTTATGGTGGTCATTATATTTAACCCCATTAATTATTTGTGTTGTCAAAGAGATTGTGTCATCGTGAACAATTTCTAAAAAGGACACTGTACATTTAAAAACATGCTCTGAGAGCTAGTTGCATCGAATTCATAGTATAATATAAAAAAATTATATTAATAATAGAAATATTTAGTTCAATATATATTATTCAAACATTATATTATATATATCATTCATTTGGATATTTATTTACGAAGTTTATAAGCATGTATATATATGTATGTATGTATTATTGTACGTATATTTATACTATATGTGTGTATATTTAAATGTAATGTGTATGCATTTAATTTGCATATATGTATATTTTAATGTATAAGCACTTATTTACGTATAATTGGTCGTACCTGCCAACAATTGTCCTTGGCACCCAGGGTTGACTGGCAGAGAATGCCACATGGCATTAAGTCCGCCCTATGTACCCTTTAGCTTAAGATGTTACGTGTAAGTTTTTAAATAAATAAATAGGTAAATCAAATGCGTCGGAGCGTAAGAAGCTAGATTAGGCTAAGGTTAGCCTCTGTAAACTTTTTAAGCAACGACAGTCAGGCAAGGTATTGCGATTTCTAATTATTAGGGTCAGCTTACAGCTATGATGACAAATCATGTACAGCGGTGGACTGTTAAAGACATAAACTGTAGCTAAAGAGGCAGTGGGAATAATAATAATGTAAGAGATGAAATTCCTCAATAAAAGTGGTAACCTTAATCTAAGTGCAACACGTGCCTTTCGGTAACCCTAAGCAACATAACTGTTATGGACTTATCAGCAGAAAGTGAATGATGACAGAACGGCGATTTTGCACACACATTCAGACTCCTAACAAATATTAGTGGTAGCAATATCGTCATTAAATGTACCTATACCTTAAACGAGCAATTCTTGTATATATGTATATATATAATCGGAATCTCGGAAACGGTTCCAAGTATTTTCATAAAATTTTGTGTCCAGGGAGTTTCGGGGGCAATAAATCGATCTAGCTAGGATTTATTTTTAGAAAATGTTTTGTCCGTGTTTTCAGGCAATGAAAAACTGCTACAATATAAGAAGGTAAATTTTGAGATCGTGTTAAAGATCGTAATAGCTCAAGTGGATATCGAGCGGTCGCGAAATCGTAAAGCCTTGGTTCGCGTCCCGCTTCGGTCCGACTTTTTTCCTTTTTTTCAAGTCTCCCTTCTTTTGTGAGAAAATCTATTATTTCGAGCCCTTTTTTTAGTATTTTTAAAAATACGAAAATTTTAACTAAACTAATTGCATTCGTGATTTTTATTCCAATAACCAGTTCAGCTTTTTCTATTATGTCAATAATATCAAAAATATTATTCATGTAATTTGTATCTAAGTTTAATTTAAAAAAAACGAGCAGAGCTCGGTCATCCGGGCACTGTAGGTACCTATATTATGCAAATTCGTAAGGACATCGAAGATGTTAAGTAACTTTATTACAAAAAAAAACATAACGGCCACAGCAAGCAAAAAGCAAAACGTGCACCTGATAGTAAGTAGATCTTGTAGCCCAAAGACCCCTACGTCCATCCTCAATAAAGAAGCAAAATACACATAGTAGAATGCCTCGTTTCCAGTAAAAGGGGTCTTCGGTTCTCTACACTCACCATAAGAAACACAGCAGCAATTATACGCTTGTAATCTGTGAGAGCGTGGTCCATCCCCAGTCAAGCCGACCCATTTGTACTACATCTATAATATACCTGCAACATGGCTCTATCATGTATACTCTACCATGGCTCTACCGCGCTACATACCTATTATATTTTTTATTACATAAAAATTTTATCTCTACACTAGGAGTGTTTCCTGTGTCTTAACGACATACATTAACTATTGCACATGCACAAATATTCGTAACAAACTTTTGAAGAACAAAAATAAATAATATTGTTTGCGTTGTAGAGCCATGCTACAGCTATACTAGTAGTATACTTGTAGCACGGATGGGTTGGCTAGATCGGGGAAGGACCACGCTGTCTCAGAATACCAGAGCGTAAAACTGCTGCTGTGTTTTGTATGCTGAGTGTAGAGAACCGGGATATCGGTTAACTAAAAACGAGGCATTCCATCTTAATCCTCAGGGGTGACAATGCATCTGTATTTTGATTCTTTGTTAAGGATAAATGTAGATGTCTTTAAACTACAGCATCCACTTACTATTAGGTGTACTTTTTGCTCGTTAGTCAACCTTATCCTATAAAAAACATTAGTACCTCGTCTGTACTGGACTCGTACCCGCGGCTATTTAAATTGGTGTCAATATTAATTATAACATTTTGGAAGTATTTATAGCTTCATAGGTCTATTCTATATATCTTGTATATATATTGTCTATTCTATATATTATTAGCTTCATAGGTCTCAGGGCCCACCTACCTATGAAGCTGTAAAAGCCAAAAGACTAACAGCGTTAACATCATCTGAAACCAGAGATTAAATTATATTTAACATATTTACAGTACTTTAAAGAATCGCATTGATTATGGTATTAAAATATGCTATAGATACCGAAGCCTCCGTGGCGCAATCGGCTAGCGCGTTCGGCTGTTAACCGAAAGGTTGGTGGTTCGAGCCCACCCGGGGGCGGTAAATACATTTTTATTAAAACCGTGTATATGTGGAGTTAGTTCTTTGTAAAATATATTAGTTTTAAATTAATTTCCGCTATTATTGGTAACCCATTTACCCAAAATTTTATGGCAAAAAATAACAGAACGCAATATTTATAGCTGCAATGACAAAATGAATACTTTTGTAATAATTTTCTATAACCATATTATAAAGTTATAAATATTTCCTATAATTATTATACAGGAATACATTTACAAAGTATTATACTTTATATTACTTAGAGTTTTAAAAAAGTGTAGGGCGACATAAGAACTCGCTCTACATTTTATAATATATGCAGTAATGACGTCATGGAACTCGCAGTCAGGGAGTCGATGGATCGTAACAACAAAACAGGATTTATTGATATATTGTAATGATAATAATAGCTCTAGAAGCAATTTTATTTTACTAGAAAATAACTGATTTTAAATCAAGCTATTTGAGACTATAAAGAATCCTTAGCCTTTAAGGCGTACATTACGCGCTCTTGCAGGTGTCAATCACTGCATTACACGGTAGGTTATTCGTCAATCACAACCATGATTGTTGTAAAACTGACAGCGTGCATGAGCGTGTAATATACGCCTATCAGTCACTATCCGTTTTTTATCAATCATGATTGATGAAATTGATTGACGCCTGCGTGAGCACGTAATGTACACCTATCAGTCACCATCGGCTTTTTATCAATCATGATTGATGAAATTGATTGACGCCTGCGTGAGCACGTAATGTACACCTATCAATCACCATCGGCTTTTTATTTTATGGAATTGATTAATGCCTGCATGAGCGTGTAATGTACGCCTAAGATCTTTGCGATA